CAGAGCGGACGGGATGCCCAGTTTTCAGCTGACTGTGGCCGTATGTGCTAATTAGATGATTTAATATCACTATATACCCCATCAATTTCACGACATATAAGCTGTCACCTGTTGCTCGTCTCATGGTCTGATAAGGGTCGGCTCGATGAGCCATCTTTTTTTCTTCTGTTCATCTTGACAAAAAAAAAAAAAAAAAAAAAAAAAAGGAATAGGGCCCAGCTGAAGAAAGATTACCGCAAAGTCGGCTTCATCTCTCTTGGCATTAGTTGACGGCTCGCAAATAAGGACTCCCTCGGACGCTGGACGCATCTGACAGGCGGCAGCCACAATATCCAGCAGCTTTGTTTATCTAAAGTTTTCGAGTACGAATACCTTATCAGAATTCTGATTGATAGATTGTAGGAGTATCCCCACTGCCTTCGACCTTACAAGATAAAGCAAGCATGTCAAGCAACCCAGGCGCATTTAAGCCTCGGCCCAACGTCATCAACGTCAGGGTCTACCTTGATCCGTGCAGCACTAATAATTATCATTATCCCATCCCAATCGAAAGGAAATGTGCATTCTGTAGCCTCGTCAACCGGCCAATCCGCCATCTGTGCGCGCGAAACAACAAGTTGATTGAAGCCTGAGAGTGACTGGCCTAATCGCTCTTGCTCTTGACAGCTTGGAATCTCAAAACTACTGATTTTTTGGCATCCTACTGGGTTTTCTCGGATCGCAACGGCAAAGAAATTTTCCTGGAGCAATCTGGTCTCAGGAAGCAATGTCTGGTGTATACGCAGAACAGGAGAAGAAAGGCGGCTCTGGGCCGTCTTCTGCTCACAGTGAACCTTTGCAATCTGATCTGGAGGCCCGCAGAGCTTCTGGTACGACACCTCTGGATGTACTGGAGAAGGTCGAGGGGACAGATGAAGCACATCCTATGCACTGGGGGTTATGGAAGAAGTGGTTCGTTATCACTGTCTACTGTTTACTACAAGTTTACGTGACGATGACTTCGACCATGTACGTCTCAGTCGAGTCCTTGATCCAGGAGAAATTCCCTTGTACGCTTCAGGTCGTAACGCTCGGCCAATCGATGTTTATTATCGGCACTGCTGTTGGACCTGTTTTCCTTGGACCATTGTCGGATCTCGGAGGTCGCAAATGGGTTTACGTCGTTTCCATCTTGCTCTATGCTATCTTGAACATTGGCTGTGCCCTAGCCTACAATTTGCCTATGCTCATCATTTTCTGCTTCCTGGTCGGTGTTGCTGGATCTACTGCTTTGTCAAACGTTGCAGGAACCATCATCGATCTTTTTGGCGTATGTAGTTACATTCTGGTGTCTGCTGTAGACCAGCTTGCTTACAATCCGTGTGTAGGCCGAAGATGGCGCGGGTCAGCCAATGGCCCTCTTCGTACTGAGCTCCAACTATGGTGCAAGTTTGGGATCACCCATTGGTGAATGGATTGGCATCAACCCACACATGGGCTGGCGCTGGAGTACGCATCAATCTTTTATCTCAACCCCGTTCTACCTGCTGACCTGAAACGTCAGTCTTCTACATGAACATCATCTGGGGTGGTGCTTTCGCACTTGCGATGTGCTTCATGCCCGAGACGCTTCCCACCATCGTCATTGCAAGAGAGGTCAAGAAGCGCAACACCGATGACCCTAACGCCAAGGTCGTCGCTGCCGAAATGACTAAGGTCAATGTATTCCAAGAAATCCGCTTTGTCTTGACAATGGCATTGCGAATCATGTGCACCGAGCCTATCGTCATCTTCCTTGGCTTCTACAACGGTTTCGCCTATGGGTTGGTAACTCTGCTCGTTAAGACAACAATCTACTAACACTTTGATAGCCTCCTGTTCCTGTACCTCGATGGTGTCTTCGACGTCTTTGTCGACAACAATGGTCTCAGCTACGTCGGCGCCAGTCTGTCGTACCTCAACTTCTGCGTCGGTGTAACCGTCATGTTCATCTTCGTTCCCGTCCAAACCTACCTCTTCCGCAAGGACCGCATCAAGCACGGCAAGCACCGCCCCGAAGCCCGCTTCCTCACCTCTCTGGTCACAGTCTGGTTGTTCCCCATCACCCTCTTCTGGTTCGCCTTCACCTCCAACGGAAAGACTTCCTACTGGTCCCCCATCGTTGCAGGCGGTGTCCTCGGTTTCTGCGATCCTTTGCTGTGGTTGGGAATGCTCAACTACCTCGGCGACACATATAGCAATGTTGCTGGATCTGCTGTTGCTGCTTTCTTGATCCCTTCGTTCTTGATTGCGGCTGCCATGTGTCATGCTGGTGTTGCCATGTTCCAGAACATGAGCTCCACTTGGGCTTTTGCTACTCTGGCTTTCATTTCTCTGGGTCTGGTTGCTTTGGTGTATATCCTTTACTTCTTTGGCCCTAAGCTCAGGAGACGCAGCAAGCTGGCAACCGTCTACTAGATCATTCCCACCCAATCGATTCCAGGTGTGAAGATCTCCATGGCGATACTGAATCTCTCGCTCAGAAATTCTTCAATCTCCCCAAAGGCTTCAAATCCATGAACAGAGAACTTGTCTCTGTGTAGTTTCCTCATCTTCGAAACATGTAACAAAAATTATTTGGAATGGGCTTAGGGCGTTCAAGGATGTTTTGTGTTACGTCTGCACAAAAACACATGTACATATAGATTAGATCACTGGCTAACTAGGAACTGGGGCGTTTCGGTTTGGAGAATATAGAACACATTGTTCTCGCAATACCTATGCAAGAGAAACCCTGAATTTGAGACACAAAACCCAAGAAATGCTGGTTTGTCCTATTGAAACTCCCGCTTTCCAAAAATCAAAAAACAGATGCCCTAATAACCAGAGTGAAACGCCTTTGAATGCAAGCAAGGCGCGATCGAAAAGAGAGCCATGAATCATAACTGCCAAGGGGCCCCTGAGTGATCAACCAAGGCACAGCGGCCATAGAGCACGTATTGCTCGTCATCTTCTTATTCAGGATGCTTCGCCTTCTCGCCGTTCGTCTTTCTAGGGTGTATCATGATGTTTGGAGCATACAGATGACCGCCCTCGTTCAGTAGCATATCGGGTAGTATAGGGTTGTCGACTTCGTTGATGTACCAAGGGTTGGCCAAATCTTCGGGTAAGGTCGTCCACCACGACCAGGTCATGCCGTTAGTGAAAAATCCGACCGCACTACCACGGTAGCGTGCAGGACCATTGGCGATGGCATCAGGGAATGCATCCAAGCCGCCGCCATTGAGAGCAAACTCCATCTCATGGCGATCGCGACCTGGCCACTGATACATGGGAAATGGGGGAGCACTAATCTTGAGGCCATGCCAAAGAGCGAAACTGGGTAGTGTGGCTTCCGACGGAATACGCATGCCCGCATGTGCTTGAGCATGATGAACTGCGTTCAACAGATTCCAGCTTGCACGGCCCTGAGCGACAACTGAGACGAATATGGGCAGTTTCGTGCCCATGGAGAAGCCGTGGTGCCAACCTTTGAAAAGCCAGTCCTCATTGCGTGAGACATCGTCCAAGGTGTTGAGGAGAATTAGATCAGCCTCCTCGCCCACACCCCAAGAGAAGTGCTCATCGTGAGGATCTTCGACAGGAGGTCGCGGACCAATAGGTTTGAAGTCGTGGATGTCAATATTGCCCCATACTGAAGAATTGCCATCAAGGACACGGTCAATGGTGTTGAAGAAGTCGTCGTATGAGCCATGGTAGTCGGCCATGTATGCCCAGGATGCTCTTTCTCTAGCTTGCTTGCGCGGCTCATTCCTAGCAAAATCAGAAAACTTGTTGAGCATATCGCCGGTGTGTCCTAAGAAGCGCGTGTCCATTTCCAATTGCCAGTAGTGATCAAATTCGGGATAGAACTGAGCAAATATCTGCAAAGGCTGCATGATTTGCATGATGGGCAAATGCTCGACGACATCAGGATACCAACTTTCCAGTAGGGAGTCATCAAAAAGCACAGCAATATCCTGGAACTCGGGCGGAACTGATTCGCGCAGGACACGGTCATATGCTTCTGGGTTTGTGTGAATGCCTGCCTCTTTGTCTTTGACGTCGACCAGAAGGAAAACAGCATATTCCCCACCGTTTGCCAGGGCGGTTTCTGCGATAAGCGATCTGAGGTACCACATATCCTCAGGCATATACTGGTATGTAGACCATATACGGACGACAATGGCTGAGCGGTGGAATGTTTCTGTTGCGGGCCTTGGGTTGATGTTGGGAGTTGTGAGGAAGGAAGGCAGCCACTTCTCTTTCCATGATGTTTGACGGTATGTGAACCTCGGACGACCGCGGTCGTAAGCGTAGGCATTGGGAAGTCGTTGGCGATTGGACATGGAGCAATTGTTCTGCAGATCTGCCCAATTTATGGTGGACCAATCGACCCGACTCCTGTTATAACCATCCTCCTCTTCTCCCAGACCGTAGGGACCATATCTCTCGGCAGCGGTAAGCCAAGACTTGTCAAGGTCAAGTGCTTCATACGAGCCACTGAGAGGGGGTGGGTAGGTGAGGTTCGTGTAGTGTGCTGGGTGGATCTGGTCGTCGTAGCTCTGCGACATGAGCTGTCCTCGCGGGCCGTTGCATGGTACACGTTGGTTACGGGAGTCGGTCGCTAAATTGGTAGAAGAAGACGTCGGTTTCACAGACGAGGATTGGGAGGCCGAGTAGGTCGCATCAGACGAAGGGGATGTTTTGGTCGCGAATGAAACATGTTCAGGAAGATGATGTTCTGAGGGGAAGGAAAGTGTGTACAGCAGAATCGAGATAAGAAACAAGATGATGCCGGCGACAATATGTCTGTTTCGAGTGCTGGAACGAGAGACTGTAAGAGGGGTATACATGATGCCGCCTCAGCCCCTGCTGCTGGTTTGCGAGGTCTGAGCAGGCAGCGAAGGGTGAGCGACAGACTAAAGGACAAGGAAACAAACATGGAAAGACAACGAGCCGCCCTACGGACCTGCCTGAACATCAAAATCAACCACTGACGTGCCAGGGCTGAGGAAGGGCTCACCGCAGTGGCCACTGCCTTCCACGACTCGCCAAAGCACTTGGATGCTGCAAAGCCAAGCATCCACTTGATAGCGAAATGGCCTTGTTTCGCCGATGGAGTCGTCGTAACACATGGCCATGGCGTCGCCTGGGCGCTCACATTCGCTGCCGATTACTTACTCCAACATCATATGCACCTCTTGCAGGAATGAGTGAGACGTGGCTGCTGGTCAGGTGGCTACACAATAGGCAAAACACATACCAAAAACAAGAAAGTTTGAGAGTCGTAGACCCTCGTTGTCCCTGTGTCCTTCAGCGTGCCCTGCATGTGTTCCGGAGCCGAGAACCGTTGAGAAGTTCTTTCCCGCGTGTCAAGCCATGGCCAGAATGACGTAGCTCCAGCCTCCTGTTTCATCTCAATATTCTCTGACTTCCGTCTGTTGTTTGCTCGCACATTGTACTATGCAACATGAATAAAGATCCTTCATGAGTCACAATGGTCTCTGATCGGCCAAGAATGCATCAAAATGCTCATTGGCTGTCAACGAATCTGTCCAGCTTGGCTTGCATGCGACAACTAAGGAACAGGGTCACTGGCTTTCTCGACTTCATCTCATCATATCCGAGTAATGTTCTGTATTGTGATAGAACCTGTTTCTACGATGTTGAGTGGGAGATACCAAGCTTCAAGATCTCCGGGAGAAGATACAGCTATGAGAGTATGCTACACAATGCAGAGTATTATCTAGGAGATAAGTACCCCTCACCGAAAGAGAAGGATATCTCGACTCTCAATGGCCAAAGTCAGATCTCACAACTCATCGTGCATTCTGATAGCTGTTTTTACAAGTAACAACACGAATATGAGTCATATTTTCACCAAATCGGTAGATATGGCTTTGGGTGCAAATACACCCAAGGGCTGAGTTCAGCGCAAAGAAAAAGACATGATTTTATTGTTGTTTGAAGGACTATCGCAAGCAGAGATGGACATCATGCAGTCGCTGGTTAGTGAGCCGTGTGCACGGACGATACTTTCGAAGCTAAACCTCGGCCACGTCTTGCTGTTGGTACCACCCGGACCATGAGAGGACGGCATCGTATCTCATCGACCTCATGATCTTTAGGCACTTAGGTACTCCTCATATGGTCTCCAAGACGCCCTTGTACATGCAGTATCTTGGTCTACGCTATGGGCATTGATACTGCCACGTCCTCAGTACAATAAGGACAACTCATGCTGGGAACTTGAACCCCAAAGAGAACCACCAGCACTCTAATCCACAATTCACATTGTAAGCATGATAGCCCCATTTTCTTTATGCTATATCTACCGACAACTATACACGGTACCAGTTTTTCACTGCCATAACATTACAGAGCGTCCGAATCAGCGCTTGCTAATGGATTCAGATATTTCAGACAACCCAACCACTTCCAACATATTCACCGTTTTCACCGTATATACCAGATGACATCACCAACACTATGTTCAGATCTAACCTGAAGCTCACAAGAAACAGATGAGAGAGTCAACGAGAAAGCTATATAAAAAGTAAACTCCTCCCGATCCGACCACCAACTCCAGAAACCAACGCTCGTCTGGAACGAGCCGTAGCTCACACCAGAGATCTCACAGATCCCATTGAGTCAGTCATCAAGCTCTGGCAGACAGCAGATGTATGCAGCACACAGCGACAACGGCGTCAGTGACCGAAATGTTTCCACAAACACACTCGTACAATCGGTCGACTATTTCAAGCAGATCGTGAACTCACGCAAACATCCATAAAGCCGTCACAACAGGCCGGGATTCATGGTCAGCTTCGGAACGCGCACCGAAGTGCATCCTCGTTTGGCCCTCTCATTGCCTGTTCCGCGGTGGATTTAGCGTTTTCAGAATCTCAGCACGAAGGTATAAGCAATCTGTGCTCGCGAGAAACGGCCCAAAGAGATAGTGTATATGCACAGCGACCGGATGCAATTATTCACAGGCACCCGGTCTTACTCTCTACGGCGTACACGAACAACCTATTAGCTGTCGAAATGCAGGATTGATTCACGAATGGAGGCGTGTCCAGAGAGAGCAGATACAATGAGGTGGAAGAAACAGTGTCTGTGTACAAATTCTATTCAAGTCTAACCTCTTCTGCGAGTGCTAGGGCTCTTGCCCTTGGGCTCAGCACTGGTAGTCATGGCGATAGCCTCTTTTCTTCCCGACTCGTTCAACTTGTGCGAGGGAGCGCTGACTTTGCTGGGAGCACTGTTCCAGTAATAGATCATCTGGAGAGCGAGCACGGCGTTGAGGACGAAGCCAGAGATGAAGCCGTAAAGGATGAGCTTGTCGTCGACTTCTTGAAGGGTTGTGAAGATGCGCGAAAGAGAGCCGAAGAGGTAGTTGAAGACCTGGGAGTTGAAGAGTCAGTATATCTATGACAGGAACAAGTAAGGCCGCGAAGTGATGACTTACAGCGAAAGCGCTCAGCTGACCAGTGCCACCCTGTTGCCAGACAGTGATGATCTGGGGCAGCTTGCTGGCAACACCGAGGGCACCAGCACCAGCCTGAAGAAGACTCATTGTCTTCATGTCAATGACATTGGGGTTGAACAGCGAGTAGCCAGCAGCAGCCAGGCCAGCAACAAAGGCAGCGGCAGCAGCACCCTTGCCGCTGTATTGCAGAATCAGGGCAGCAATGGCAACGTTCTGGATGGCAATGAAAGCGGTTTCACCATAGGTGCTGAAGGGAAAGCCCATGCGAGCGTTGTAGGCGAGCGAGATGAGGTATGAGCTGGTCTCGAGAGCGTAGGCCAAGAAGCTCAAACCAGCAGCCGACTGCGAGTTGAGGAGCTTGAGCAGTTGAGGGATCTTAACGACAGCAGAGGCGCCGATGATGCCGATACCGAGGCCCTTGGAGATGGCCAGCTTGAAGCAGGAAGCGTCGCTGAGTTGGACATCGTGAACGAGCGTCTTGTAGCAGTGGTTTCCAAGCAGCGAGATACCAACGTCGCGGATTGGTCCAGGGAGGTTTTGTGTGATGGGCTGCAGCACCGGGCGGAGGGCGGATTCGAGATGCTCCATTGTTTGAATGTTGGCAAAGTGGTCGAGTATCCGTACTTTCCAAATGATTAGACAAGGTCACAAACAAAAAGCTTCGGGTTGATGCCACCTGGCGAGGGGCGCGTCTTCGTCATGTGGGGGTGACTTCCCCTTTCGTCCAACGCTCCTGTCAACGTGGCATCTTACCATCACCTCCTCTTGTACTTGACATCTTGTTACTCAACATTGAAAACATCTACGAGGAGCTGACGGGTTAGTATGGCCGCCATAATGGCAGAAACATTCACTCTGGCAGTCTGAATGGACTTTGAAGCAACAAGCACGCCGATCACATGAATGGCCAGAGCATTTATATCAAAGACACCATCCACCACCTCTTACCTCAATGATGCAATTCAGTACGCTCTCTCAAAGGCATTCCCAAGTCGAGAGTCCTTGGCAGCAAGCTCTTGCGTCAAAGACATGTCAACACAAGGACGACTCAGGTCCCAATGCACGAAGGTCGATAAAGTACATCCGAGCTGCTCAACAATAGCTGTAACGGAGACTACAAGTCGAGTTGGAGTTTTCATGGCACGATCGTAACGACGAACAATGAACGCTCGTCCTTGGCGCCGACACCACGCTCCAGGTCTTTTGAACGGTACAAGTTATGCTCCGCTTCCTGCATTGTCTCTGAATGCTGTCTTCAGTCGACATAACTGCCATCAATCCAGTGCATCTAGCAATCCGAGATACCCAGCGATCAAAGCCCTGTGGCTTCTTCGGGCTACAATATCCGACCTCGACATGCGCGAACACTCACCAAGTTTGACCCATCCTTGTGGTCGTTAGCCATGCGCGGTCGATCTTGATACATGTACTCATCTCGCCGTTCCTCGTCGTCATACATACAGCAGCGGCCTCGACGATCATCAATGGGACCACACTTTCGCCCTACCGATAGACCAACCGAGTGAGCTACCCCAGCAGGTCTGATGGTCCGGTTGTAAGGCACAGTTGACTGTTCATATACTGTCTGGATCAACCATTCGACATGTCAGCAGCCAGTTGTGTCACACAACTTGATCATCAGACCTGCCGGGGTAGCTCAATCGGTAGAGCGTGTGGCTCTTATCACCAGATAAAGTACAACCTCAAGGTCGCGGGTTCGAGCCCCGCCTTCGGCTATTCCTATACATTCGCTGTCATTCCTTTTTGTCGCTCTGTTATTGTGTCAGAAAGACTCGGTTTCATTTTGAGCTGTTGGAGACCAACAAAAAAAATTTGAAGCCCGCCGAAATTTTGGCGGACCGAAGCCTGCACAGGCCCTTTGCCAAGCCATGTACTTTTTTCTCTCTATCACAACAATGAAATTTCTTGCCTGTTCATGCTGTTGCTATGTTGGACTCTTGGTTTTGTTCAAGCTGAATTCACTATTCCTTTGAGATCCAGGTCTTGTTGGCATCGATTATCAAGCGACGTCCGATCGCTAGGTGATTGCGACACCCGACGCTATTCGATGTCTGCTTTAAAGTTCTGCAACGACGACGAGGTGTGCAGATTACCGCCTTTCTTCGTTACAACCATGATCCAATTTCTTTAGACATGGTTAATATGGGTCTTCCGTCAAGCGGCTTGACGCCAGAATCACGAGGTTGCATCTTGTCTTTTCGTTAGAGTCTTGCGATCTTCTGTTTAAACTGACCTAGCAGGTTGATCCCTGACGACAGTTACATTTATTTACACACAAATTGTATGTACTATCTCTCTATTTCTTCTGGTTCTGTCTACCCTCTGCACACCTTCTCTCTTACATGATGATTAATACTTTCACTGATGGCAAACGGAGATTGAATCCCTCCATGTCAGCTTGATGTTTGTTATTATTAGCTCTATCTGAAAATTTCTCTTTAACTCACAAGCATTTTTTGTTCATTCAACCTTGAACCCGAGGCATTGTGCTAATCGATTCGAACAGGTCTATTCTATCTTAAAGTGGAAGCTGGACTTCTGTTATTGCAGGCATGTGGTCAATCAAGTCTATGTAGTGCTTCTCAATCATATTCGATCTTCTTGACCCTGGGCCTTCACATCGTTCCTGTGTTGTTTGCTGGCGATGAGAACAGACGATGAACCATACAAGTTCTTACATACCGAGCCAACAGCTAGCGCCATCTATCACGCCTTCCCTGTCATTCTTGCTTTGTAGTGTTGCGATCTAGAGGCCGTCGTTCTTCCCAAACCAAATGATCTGCTTAAGCTTCAACGACTCTGTCACTGCCACTACCAAGAGACGCTGCTTCTGCACCACTAGCAGCAGTGTCCTGGTTCAACAAGCCACCCACATCCCTCAGTTCGATAGCCGACTCGCTTGCCTGCGAGCTCCCAGCCGAACTTTCAGAGGCACCAAGACCAGCCCACCTCCTAAGCATACTGACCACCCTCCCTCTCTGCGCAGTACCAGGAGCCAAAAAGGCCTCTTGAATAGCTTCAAGACTAAGCCCTCTAGTCTCCGGCATACTAAACATCAATACCAAAACACTAGCAAAGCAAATCCCTCCAAACAAAAAGTAAGCTCCGTAGCTGGACTTTGAAAGCAATACAGGCGTTATAATAGCAACAATCCAGTTGGTAAAGAAACCCAACCCTTGGGCAACAGCACTTGCTGCAGATCTCGTAGCTGCTGGCTGGATCTCAGACGCGTAGATCTTGCCGACTATACCCCAGGTTGCGGAGTATGCCAGACCGAACACAAAGACTAGGATGATGACAAGCCAGCGAGCAGGGTTTTGTGGTGTGACGGAGTTGGAGGCGTAGAGAGAGCCGATTGTGAACATGCAGAAGGTTAGGATGCAGCCGCCTACGATGATACTGCTGCGGCGGGAGACTTTGTCTGCGAGGAGAAGAGCGGGAACGCTGATGGCAAGGATGAGGATTGCTGAGAGGCCGGATGCCAGGAATGAGCTGGTCGCCGCGTTGATACCTGCCTGGGAGAATAGAGTTGGGGCGTAGTATAGTACACCTATGTAAAATCAATTAGCAAAGTGCGTCGACCAGAGCTTCTGATTTCGAGTTTTTACCATCAATCCCGCTCAGCTGAATTACACCAAGGACATAAAGAGCGACTAAGGCAGGTCTGCGATACGGCTGGCGGAAGAGCATAGTCAACCCCTCAACTGCACCTGGTTGTCGTACCGCCATCCGTTGTTCGGCAGCAGGACCAAGCAAGTCTTTCTCAGCCTCGACGGCACTAAAGTCGAGTCGTTTGAGTTCTTGAATGGCTTTATCACGTTGACCATGCACAAGAAGCCAGCGAGGGGATTGAGGCAATACAAATGGCATGATGGTCAAGATGAGTCCAAGGATGGCTTGAATGATGTAGGGAGCTATTGTAGAGGTCAGTAAGTTGAGGATATCAACCGAAAAAGACAGGGGACAACTTACCTCTCCAAGAGAAGCTTGATTCAATTCGAACGCTTCCATAACAGGTAAAGTAGCCAGCACAGATCCCTGCACAAGCCATGAGCTGCGGCATCGAGACCAGCATACCTCTTCGAGCCGATGGAGCAATCTCAGTAATATACCTAAAGAAGAGTCAGCATATCGTAGCATATCTTTGACCATAGCAAAACTTACACGCTGACATTACTCAGCCAGAGACCTTCGCCTACACCACAGAGTGCTCGACCAGCAAGGAATATGCCAAGTTTGCTTGCGGCTCCCTCTAGAGCAGCCCCGATTGTAAAGACTAGAGCGCCTGCTGCAACAATTGCCAACCTCCCGAAACGATCGGCGAGTTGTCCAGCGAAGAAGGATGGAAAGGCACCCGTGAGCATGATCAATGAGACAGTAAATCCACGGAGGAAGGGCGAGAGTTCACCAATAACCGATGTGAAGTATTCCATCTCGGTCACAGCGCCGATACTGCCTGTGTCATAGCTGTACTTTCTATCAGCTGGATGCTTTGGTGTAATTAGTATGCAAGATTTTATAATACCGACCCATTCAAAAAGCCACCAAGCGAGATTGCAATGGCTGACAGGACATAGCCTGGAGGTTTTGAGATGGTGAGCTTCATGATCGATTATGAGACATATAATTGTTCAAGCTCTCAGATTAATAAACGCCATTGAAGATGCGATCGCGGCCCTCTTTTGTATTCAAATCTGCCAGTATCTTGTACCTTTTGCCCTTATCAGTAATCGAGATCGAACGTCATAAAACAAAGTGGTTGCCTGCGAGAGCAGCTCTATTGGCAAGCACAAAGTGCGCCGTAAGCAAGGTGCGGGGTGGAAGGATTGTGTCTCTGTCGATCACCAGATGGCAGGAGCGACTTGGGCCGTTTCTCGAAGAAAATAATCGCGACAAGACAAGCAGGCACAAAGAGCCAATTTCTCTTTTGCAGAAATCGTGTATATGTAGGAGCGCATCATAGCTTTGTCTATCATTTTTCGTAAAGGTACAGCATCATCTCTATCGCCTAGATAAATCAACACAATCATGACTTTTTTGTTTGTTCATCAAGAACGAAACCCACAAAATCATATTTGTACAATGCCGTAATTTGTTTCCCTCATACATCAGATCATTGCCCATGCGGCAGCTTGTTTCATCCATATTCTTGAAACATGGCAAGTTTATGCCTTGGCGGTGGGGAAGGCAGCCTTTGCAACATTCTTGGCAGCCTCGAGAGCGCCAGAAAGACCGAATTGAGTGTTGATACCCTCAATACGGTGGGTCGAGTTGATGTTCTTGACCATGGTGATCTGGTAGCAAGTGGCGGAACCTTGACGGGAGATGATGGTGGAGTAGGCGAGGAAGTATTCCCAGATCTGTTCCAAACTAGTTAGCAACTGTCAATATCATGAAAGCAAGGGGAAGTCTTACTCTGAACCAGCGCTTGCCGTACTTGGCCTCGACCTTTTCGCGGTTGCCCATCCAGTTGCGGTACCAGCGCCAGAGAGTAGCGCTGTAGTGAACACCAATGGTGTCAATGCTCTTGATCTCGAAACCAGCACCCTCAAGCTTGTCGACGGTCCAGCCGAGGGGAGTAGAGGCATCAGCACCAGGGAAGATGTACTTGTTCATGAAAAGACCCCAGATGAGATCCTCGTATTGCCAAGGCTTGCGGATACCAGCGTATTGCATGAAGAAGACACCGTCATCGTCGAGCATGTCGTGGATCTGGCTCAGGAAAGTAGAGAAGTGACGAACACCGACGTGCTCGGACATTTCGAGACAGGTGATCTTGTTGTACTTGCCCTTAGGGACGGGAGTGTCGCGGTAGTCCATGCACAAGATACGGCTCTGCTCCTCGGGAACACCGAGCTTGCGGAGACCGCTGTTGCCCCAGGCAGTCTGGTTGCGACCAAGAGTAATACCAGTAACCTGAGCACCGTAATGGGCAGAAGCGAACTTGGCAAGAGTACCCCAACCGCAGCCGAGATCGAGCATGCGGTCACCAGCCTGGAGACCGATCTTCTGGCAGACAATGGCCAGCTTGTTGTCCTGCAATTGCTCAAGGGACTCTTCCTTGTTGATGTCGGAGATGATACCAGAAGTGTAGATCATGCGAGGGCCAAGGAACCAAGAGTAGAAGTCGTCACCGCGGTCGTAGTGGTCGCGGACTTGCTCCTCGTCCTGCGAACGAGTGTGCATGATAACCTCGGGCATCATGCCAGTAAGGAAGAACCAGAAGAGAGACAGAGTGAAGCGGAAGTTGGCCCAGTCGTGACGGTACTCCATGACCTCGAGAGCGTCGCCGTTGAAGTCGACATCGCCGTCAAAGTACTTCTCATGGAAAGTCTCCATGGGAATCTTGCTGCGGCCGTGGTACTTGGCGCGGTCGGCCTCCTTGTGGAACTTGAGGTAGTGCTCAACAGGGGCACCAGGGTAGCGAGCCTTCTCGTTCTTGCGGGGAGTGTAGCCGGAGGCAATGGTCCAGAAGACCATCAAGATGGGGATGGCAGTCAGGATACCAAAGAAGATCCAGGTCTTGAGACCACCACCGACCTTGTAGGCCATGTAGCCGGGGATACCGCCGAGGAGAGCGAAGAGGACATAGTTGTTGAACGACTCGCTACCAGCTGCGTCGGCGGGGAGGGGAGCGTTCTTGATAGCTGGGTACTGTAGCAATTGGGTCAGCAAGGCATTGGCACGCGAGAGGAAGTGAGAGACATACAGCAGTGCTGCGAACACCAAACTGGGTGCTCTCAGGAGCAGTAGCAGGAGCGGCAGGAGTCTCGATGAAGTTGGTCAACTCCTCCGAGTACTCGGACTTGTACTCGTCTTTGCTGGCCATTGTTGCAAAAACCACTCGTCTGACAAGACCACGCGATTGCGACAGACAGCTCTCCTTTTAAACAAATCTCAACAGACACGAAACTGTGTCCCCTTGACTCCAAGACGCGCAAGGTCAAAGCTCAAAAAGTTCAAAGCTTCCCAAAGCTTTGGGCCCTGTTGCGTGTGGGTGGGCTGGGGACTTGATAACGGCACGCTCTTTCTTCAGCATAGTCATGGCATATCTTCTCTTGAACATATAGAGTTTGAAAGTACAAGTGATCCAGACTTTCGAAAAGCAACACTGATTTGTTGACTGTCTGACGTGCAGCATGTCACAGATATCTCGAGCATCTGTCTGCTGATTCTTGGCAAGCAACTCGCCGAATCCTGTGGCTGCTCAACTCCACCGCTCACCAGCCCACTTCCGCCATCCGCCGCACCCTTACACGCGTTGCAGCTCGTCACGGAATCAAACACCTGTTTCATGTCTTTTCATCACTTGCACAAGCCACTGGCACAATTATATTGTTTTTCTGAACTCTCATCTTGATCATCTGTCACAAGCGATCTTCTTTTTCTGTTGTGAGCCATGTCCGTCTGTTGTCATGAGCATCGATAGATTGCCATCGAGTGCTTCTTCGTTTTTTCTCATGTCTTCTTTCCCTCTGTTCTTGTCATGATCGTACAGATTGAAAATTAGGAGATCATCAAGCCACAGCAGCAAGTACAAATCTCCTCCCGCATCTCTCTTGCGTCTTCCATCTTTTGCTGCGTATCGTTCTCTGTCGTCATGTTCTTGTGAGGTTCGTGAATTTTGTTATGTTTTTGTGAGTTTTGTACGTTTTGTCATGTTTTTGTGAGTTTCGTGTTTCCGTATCTCGTGTCTTCTTGATCTTCATAATCGAGTGTCTCGTTGTCTTTCGAGCTTTCTTGGTTGTGTGTCGCTTAGCAAGGAGAAGCAGTATCATTTACTCGCCATTGTTGGAGGACACCAGACTCTTGACTGTTTCAATGGCAATTGCAGTTGTTGTCTCATTTCTTGGGAGAGTCTCTGACCAGCACATAGCCGATGGGGTCCTGCAGATATTCAATGTACTCACAGGTCTTGAGACAAACAGACTTGAAGGACTCGTTGACGTTCTTGGAACGTGCAACATCTGTCATGGCCCTTTCAAGTCCGCCTCGCATGTCCTCGAAGAATTTGCGGTGGGCATTCATGACTTTGTCCTCTATATGAGGAACGGGGTGGATGTTGGAGAGCTCCCAGTATCTGTAAATCAGGAGAGGAAGCATCTCATCGTACTGCGCCATGATGTCGTCTGTAGCCTTGATCGACACGCGCAGGTCCTCCAACTTGTTCAAGGTCGAGATAGGACGGAGCATGAGCATGTAGCCTGCACGGGCTCTCCAGTCGGTGTTGTGCTTGATAGGTCTAAAAGCATGCTTGAGACCGTCGGTGACATTTCTCATGGTCAAAGTCACTCTCAATGTGCGGAGGTTGATCAACTTCTTGGCAATTTTGGCAAAGATCTTGGTCCAACAGTCGACGTGCTCTTGATACCAGGCATTATCGGCGGCCTTGTTAGGAATGCCGTAGGTGCGCACATGGATGTGGAGATTGGTGATGCAAGCAAGGTTTCTGTCGGAGACGGTCTTGAGGAAGGCTCTCAGGCGGTGAGCATCGTCGAAGTAGAAGACAGTGATGCCGTAGAGAATTGGACCAGTTTCAGCGTAGATAGTCTTGCATGTGAGCAGAAGGCTGTTGAGAGACTTCTCCCAGTTGACGCCTTCAATGGGCTGAGGCTTTTGGCCAGGGATGCCATCGTACGAGACACCTCTAGCCTTCATCATCTTGCGGCGAAACTGTTCCGGGGTCGTCTTTTTGGCGACGGTGGCGACAATCTTGATAGCTCTGATGGCTTTGGGACGATCAGGCTCACGGTATTCAGTGATGGTGTCATGGAGGGGGCTTCCTTTCTGGTAAGGCCAAGCATCGTTCTGTCTGATGGTGATGAGTTTCTGGTGGAACAGGTAGCCGTAGATTTGATTGCGAATTTCGATGGGAAGACGGAGGATTCCTGGAAGCAGAGCCACAGGCTTGCGATTGTGCTTGAAGCGTCCCGCAGATGTTGAGTTGGCTTTCGACTGAGAAGCATCCTTGAAGACGTCGTTGCGCGGGTCGCCACAGAGAAAGTCAGGCCAGTTCCACTGCTTCGTCTGATGAGGTGCGGTGTCGCTGCGCGCGATGGCTTGCTCAGACTCGGACTCGACCTTTGGATCATCATCGCACAAAGGTTCGAGTGCGCAAGCATTAGCCGAGCTCAAGTTATCAGGAATAACCAGCTTTCTGTTCTTCTTGCTGGAGAAGTGTTTGGCCATTGTGCGCTTGGCCTAGAATGGTCAGTCATGGGTGTTGTTGGAGAGAAAATAAAAGAATGAAGCATACACGGATGTACCATTTCTGGCGTTTGATGACAGGCTCGCCTACCATTGTTAAAGCTTGCTGAATAGTCCGGATGAATGTCGGCGTTAGCGGTGTTAAGGAAGTTCCGTGGTTGCAGAAAGGGAAGGTGTGCTAAAGTGAAATCAGGCTTGGCCGCGTGCGCCGCTCGCTGTGAAGTGTCTCGAGGCCGAAGCTTGCAACTCCTCACTCAAGTGAACACCACACATTGACTCTTTTCTCTAAATGTTTTGTACCTAAGCCATTCTTTCTCGGCGTTAGGAATAGAGCTGGCGAGGTAGAAGGGCCCATAGTCCGCAAATGCTACCAATTGCAGCCAATCTAGGCAGCCGTCCTCTATTCTCTGAGGTCTTGAGAACGAGAACTACGGCTAACTTACTTCCAATCTCAACTGACCTGTCATTCTAGTATTCCACCGTGCACATATGTTGCCACTCGAATAGATTGAGGTTGTTTGCTTGCATATGGTATGCATCTCGCAAACGACTTGTACCTACCGAAGCTGTCTGTATCATGCATTGATGGTTTCTATCTATCTCTCAACAGTCACCAGAACAAGACATGTGATGGCACATCATGCAGACTATTTTCATAGATAGAGGATGGAGGAAAGAGAGGTCAAGTCAGGTCTGAGGTCAAAACTACTCCTTTGATCAACCGAGGAATATCCGACGCTTCATTCCTGTTTCAGCAGTGCGTTTCATCCTCCTGCATCCTGCGTCCTCTTCACGAGGCATGGTAGAGAGCATCAGTGTATTCCACGAGTCTTTTCCATCAATATTGAGTTGGAAGGCACGTTGTTGTCCTGCTGCTCTATCCAATGTGCGCTTTAGATCTTTAGCGCCGAGAATGGCCGGCGTCGAGACTTCTATTCTTACGACCAGAGAGAAAAGCTCGAACATAGCCACTAACAAAACATAGGAATAGCAAGCCCTGTCGTCCACGGTTCGACATGGGGCGGAGGCTGCTAAGCTTAATTTAGGCGCCCAATCCTTCTTCCATCTCTATATATTACGCCAGTACCCTCAATCCGATGAGCTTTGCATCTTTCGAATCATTGTTTTCTTTTACCGTAAAATCAGCGACGACTTATATACAATGCCTCAACTAGACTATGAAGACCAAGTTGAAGAAAACCCATGGCGCCCAGTGCGCATGGTTTTATATATGCTATGGACCATCCATTTCTTCGTCTGCGCATTCTCAACAGTTGGGTTTCTTGGAGAATCCTTTGTGAAACCCTTTGATCTACAGTCAGTCTTGAGGAGGTATCTCTCGAGGCCCAAAATTGCTAAGACTACACAGTGTTGCTATGAATCTGATCAGCATCTTGACGATAGATGCATTATACGTCCGACAGATGCATTTATACGCTATGGGCCAACTCGAACCTCGCAATGCAGCGCATATGCACAGTATTCAATGTGTGATGGTCGCATTATTGATGCTGGAGATCTTTGTGAGATCATTGCACGAGATGTTCGGATTCCTCGTCTTCTTTTTCTGTGCCATATTTGCGTAGGTGCAGCCTTCTGAGATTTGTTCATCCAGTTGACTAATACTTCTTCGTCTTCTAGATCGACCTTCTTGGTCCAACTCAGTGTGAGCCTTGGAGTGTTGTTCTTCAGCGTCCGCAAGACCGAGCGTAGCATTCAATTGCCTGTGCTCAACAACAAGGTCTAAATACCTCTGACTGGATTCTGAAAGAGAGGATGTGGAAAATTCGAAGTACATGGACTGTCTATACAATCTAGAGTACATACACTACATAAAGTCGTGCGCAAATCGACAACAATACCACCATGTCACAAGTTATCTCAGGCCTAGACCTTCTTGACCTTCTTGACCCTAGATACTTTATTCTTGCGCAAGATATCCAACCGTTCCTTCCTCTTGTCCATCTTCTGCTTCTTCTCCTTCATCTTCCTCGACCTGGTCTCGCGTATAAAAGCCCTCAACTGAGCTCTACGCACCCTATTACTGAACGCGGGATCCGCATTCAGCGGCTCAACAACATTACCCGATATATTGGCTTCCGTGTCGAACCTTTCTATCAAATCCCAAGTCAGTGGGAAGTATTTCATGTTCAGATCTTTGACGAATTCCCAAGGCCGTGTGTGAGCAGCAAGGTTGCGCAATTGATCTCTAAAGGCTTCGCTGTGGAAGTCTAGCGGTACTGCTTCATCCTGCGTAATGATGCCCTCGGCGACATCTGGTTGTAGCTCATCCGGCGCTAGAGAAGCCTCAAACTCCATGTCTGGTGGTTGTTCATCAAGCCAGAGTTTGTAATCGTCGTACCTATATCTCACACCCAAGAGCTTGGGCGGTCTGAGACTTGCAATGGTTCCATATCTCATCACTTCATCAGTCCAAAACTGCGGATGAAGGACCCTGAGGATGTACGACATGGGCAGGACATAGTAGGTATGCGTATGCACGCCAGCCTTTGCAAGACTATACCTCATCACTTTTTTGAGGCCTCTGTTGGCGCTATCCGGCCAGTCAAAAAAGTAGAACCCAAATGGAACACCCAGATGCTCTGGGTTTGCGCCAGCGACTTGTATAACATTGCCAAATAAGTGTTTGGTTATTGCGTAACCTAGCTCGGCCATACGACCGTCGTTCATGAATGGCTCATGCTTTTGGAAGTGGCCAGTGGGGTTGAAAATGTTGTGGAATGCGTGTGCAATCTCATGAACCATGGTCATAGCCATCTGAAACCGGGTTCGCAGATCCGCAGCATATTGATCCAGTTCTGGATGGATATCATCTACCCTGTGCTTGCGTTCAAGGGCATCACGATATTTCGTGCTCATGCATATTTGAGTGTAATATCTGTTTTTGATCGCTCCATCAGCATGAGGTAGAGAGGGCTTTAGGATTAGCACACACATACCCTTGTGGTTTGAAAAATACGCGTCCCGCAGGATAGATCGGTTTCGTAGGATCTTGATAGGTGCACATTAATGCTTGTTTGGCTCCACTTCTGTCATCGTCGTACTGCCAAGTGACATAATTACTCAGCTCGCGCAATTGTTGTATCGTCTCCATGGCTTCTTTCCACGAACCAATATTTCTCGGCAAGAACTTCCACAGCATGCCTTTACCAAGACGACGCTGTTCTTCCGGAGTGCCTGCGAACTTCCGAGCGTGAAAAAGACCTTTGAAGAAGCCAAGCGTGTCAAAGCTACTCAACAACTCAGTTGCAACCTTCAAGACTGGTTTCAAGTGTTCGTAATCGTAGTCGTCGATGCTTGGGAAGTTTTTGCGTCGAAATATTGGGTGGAACTGTGCATCATTGTATTTTGGACTACCTTGGGGGTCAAAGTACTTGCTCTTGAGTGATTCGTCCACAGCCGGGTAGATGGGTACTGTGAGCAGATTTGTCTGGGGATCAACATTGATGGCCCCGAACCTGGCCAACGACCCTACTGAAAGACTGCTGAGGATGGGATCAGAGCCATGCCAATCAGATGCGTCCTCGTAACCTGGAATTCCTGAGTAATGTTTGAGCTCTGGAAAGGGATGCTCGCCAAGAATCTCCTGCAAATTGAGCTCTGCACGGTTCCTGCTGGTGTCAAATGGCACCATTTTAGGCGTAATATTGAAAAGAGATGTCTATGAATACCATGAGGGCGAAAAACTGAACTTGTTCTAAGAAATATTCAACTTTCTACAAAGCCCAAATCCGGCGTCTTTGTTCGTCTTTGTTCAGCATCCGGCGTGCTCACGATGTGACGAACCGCATTCCTTGCATCACACCTTCATTGTCCCCACTTCGAGTTCATTCGCGATCGGAGAAGGCGTTGCCTTTCTTAGTCACGTTTCCTAACGAGCGATATTTCTTGAAAAAATCGCCGTATTCGGGTTTCTCAGAATCTGCGTCGTGGTCCTACACCAGAGGTTAGCTGACTGTGATGATACTCCTATATTTGTGAGGACCATTCTATGATGAGAAATGCAATACCTCATGAAGGAGAAAATGGTCCAAAGAAGAAGGCTTACCCTTCGGTACTCTCGGTGGAGCAGGATGACGCGGCGGTGACCGAGATCTCGAGTGAACTTGTTCCCCCGTAAATGGAAGAGATCTTCTCGGGGCAAGGTCCCTTTCACGTCGGAAATCGCGAGGGTACTGCTGTCGAGCAGGACTGCGAGATGCAGAGGAATACTCACTACGTTCATCTCGCCCACTGGGAATAGGTGCGGAGATACCCCTGATTTGAAATTCAGCTGTATTGGGTTCGGTTGTCGTCGGCCGTGTCGGTGATTTAATCCGAAGTCCTTTACAGAAGAACACTTTATTACCTTGCTCATCGGGCGCACTCAAGGTATGACCGGGGAAGGTGTTGAACACATGATTTATAAATGGTCCACCCAACATTAACGGAACTGTCGCACCAGCAAAGGCCTCTTTATACATTTGATAGAGATTTTGCTGAACGATCATTCCTTTCGGATCTCTTAGGAAATTCTGGCGCAGCCATTTCGAAGTTCTGAGAGGTTCAAGTAAATCTGCAAGAGGATGAGGCTGCGCAGAAACGGTGTTCCGTGGTGATATGGCCGTGCTTTGAGAATTGCGCTCGACAACAGATCGTGGTGAGTTGGTCGTGCTTTGAGCATCACGTTCGACGACAGATCGTCTCAATTCATCAGCTGCGGCTCTAGAAGTGTGAGAAGAAGTCGAAGTTGGTGTCTCCTGAATAGGTGCTGGCATCAATCGTCTAGCACCTGGAGTGGTCTGCGGAGTGACGGGCGCGCTCGATCTGATCGGAGGTGGTTCAACAGCACGTGTCTTGTTGAAGATAGCATCTAGCCTGGCTGGAGTCAACACAGGATCCAGGTCGGGCTTCGCTGTCTCCTGAAGGTGGTCACGCCAATACGTTTCATAGTCGACGACTTTCCCGCCGTTAGCGAGAGTGCGACTGGCCCATGGCTGAAATTCAGCTGCCTGCAAAACCACATAAGTGTCCCACTGTGGTGGTGGGACATGCGAAGACGTGTGTAGGGACCTGCACAAAGTTTCAAAAGCCGTCCTATTGCCTTTGAAATTGCGCTTGTTGACCAACTGACGAAACAGATCATCAACAGTCAGAGCTTGTGGTTCTTTTGCGGTACTTCGAGCAGGCGTCGAAGTAGACATCACGAGGCGGTCTGGATCCGGAACAGGGCGGCGTTCGAAAATTTCATCCATGGGAGCAGGTCCGCGAGGTGCTGCGAACTTACACACAATCATTTTCCCGTCGAGTGGAGTGTCGTGTTTTGCTTCGAAAGCTCTGCAAGCTGTATCGATGTCGCTGAAATTAACGAAGCCAGACTGGTTCTTAGCAGACACACTAGAAGGATTGAACTCTGCAAACAAGTTTCTAAGTTGTCTGTTGTCAATGTTTTCTGGGAGTGATCCAACCCAAAGAGCTCGACTCGGAGCGCCGAATGTGCCTCTTTTGATCTGTTGTCGAGTCTGAAGAGTTGAATCACGAACTTGAACGTCCGCATTGCGCAAAGGCCTGGGCGGCAATGATCGGACAGGGGGTACGGGCGATTTAGGAGCAGATACCTCCAAAGCAACGGGTCCCGAGACTGAAAGCTCAGAAATAGCATGAACAGAAATATTGGGGTCAGGAGCAGCAGATCCTGGACGTTCTCCGGTACTCGATGTTTCGCTCACAGATCGATCATCTTTTTGACTGCTCTGTCGGCGCCACTGGTCCATGATTCTGACTCTGTTGGCGGCACTGGAGTCGGTCGGCTTAGCTGGTTTCAGTGCTGGGCCGTCAACTTTCACCGGATTAAAATGTGTTTCTGCATTCGCATCAGGGGCTTCTAGGTTCTCCCCATTTTCATCATTGAGTCGAGCCTTTGGCGGCGACACATACGTAGTGCTGAGATTGGTTATGTGAGTGGTAGTCTTCCGCCGCTGCTCGAAGAACTCGCGCTTCATACGAGCTCGCCTCTGTTCGATCGTCTCAGCTGATTCTGAAAGTCCCCAGCTGGTCCTTCGGTCTCGTCGTGACTGAGGTCTTGGGGATTCTGCGACAATGTTTTGTTCTTGCCCATCAACAGCCGGATCGTTGTCAGCTTGTTGATCGTTCATCACAATATCATCATCTTGAGGTCGATTGACTAGTGAGAGTGTGTCATTGAGGCGTCTGATATTCTGCGAAGCTGATGATTCTTCATGGTCCCGGTCCGCGAATCGCATATTAGACTCTTCCTCGGGTCTCTCACGAGGTTGAGGACTTGCGGCGACTTCAAGGACAGGGGATGAGGCACGAACATCCCTTTCAGGCTGGGTCTTATTGTAAGATGTGGTCTTTGCTGGAGGGTCTCGCAACACAATCTTGCCGGGCTGTGACCCAGGATTTGATCCTGAGAAGTTTTCTGCGGGTGAGCCCAAGGGATACTCGGGTAGCTGTCGCAGATTTGGCTGGGGTGTTGCGACAACATCGAGCCCGGAAGCATAACTTTCTTGAGATAAAGAGCCAGAAGGTGGGCTCGAAGGTATCTGGTCGAGAGACTCATCTACCTCGGGGTCATCTACTTGCGTGCGATCCTCTGCGCTGCTGTCAGGTGGTAGCTCGCCTGGTGGCAACCTAGCTGGTAGCGGTTCTGGATCCACGAAATTAGTTGAACGACGAAGCGTATCCATGCGAGACCGAGGCCGGGTATGATGCTCTGGTGACGATTCCCACGAGAGTAGGGTATCCTGTGTCCCCTGAGTCACCGGCAGAGCATTCGATAGGCTCCCTTGTTCTCGTTCGTTTGCTTTTTGCGACTGTCTCTTTCGCTCCTCCTCTTTTCGTCTTGCCGCTCGCCGCTCAGCAGCCTTTTCAACCTTGTCGAGAACTTCCACAGGAACATTCGGATGAGGGAACGTGGTTCCAGGCCTTGGAGGATACCACGAGGAAGGCTTTTCTAGCAGTTTGCTCTGATTTTCCGGCATAGGTTTTCGCGCATATTTGACCATCAACGCTGAAGGGGCTCTGTGCAGCGACCCTTGAATGCTGGAAGACGAAGTGTCTAACAAATGTGAGCTGGAAGTAGTCAGAGAAGCTGCTAGAGCTTCTGATTGTGATGGCAAGGGAGCCCGTGGTGGCGGCATTCGTGGCAGAGATGATTGTGTAACTTCCAATGGCTCTGGCTGGGCTGAAGTTGGCGTGTTATTTGGTTGATGAATCCTAGGTCGTGTATGCAAAGACATGTTTTCAGTTTCGGGCTGCACAACGGACGTGTTCTTCGGATAACTGGATCTTCCAACAGATTCGACAACAGGGATATCGGGCATGGGTACCTGCGATTCGAAGGTTTGTGAGGTTGGCTGCGATGCTGGTTGCGACAGTACTTGTGGCTGAACATTACTGTTACCAGCAGCTGGAACTGGGGGTGGAGCCATTTGCGCTGACATAAAGCCACCCAAACGCAGAGCTTGCTCCCGGTCGGCGGAAACAGAAGCTCTTGCACCCAAATTCTTTTGTATAAGGCTCAGCATCAGCTGTTTGTTGCGCTCTTGAGACTCATTGGCTTGAAGCTGTACAGGCTGTTGCAGATTTATGCCTGTCTGAACAATGACATCTTGATCTTCATCATGAATGCGAGGTTTCACGACTCGATGAGAACTTGGATGGTTGGGAGAGGACTGCGCATGGGTTCGCTTCAAAGGAGTGGTTCTCTCAGGAGCGCTTGGAGCATTTGAAGGAGCTTCGATCATCACTACATCGCTAATGTCAGTGGTCGTGAGTGCCGCAACTGAGTCATCGTCCACTGCAAGAGGCTCGGTCGCTGACGCTGATTGATGAAGTTGTTGCAGCTGAATCAGACACGCCCTAATCTTTTCGATCGTGTGAACAGGTGTGATGCGGTCGGGTCTGGTAGCAGAAAGGTCCAAAGGATTGTGAGAAATAGACAAGCTGGAAAGCTGCAGCTGAATCCGCGAGTTAAGAGGACCCAGTGTTGTGTGAGTAATGTCTGAAATAGTGGAGGTGATGGACTTTTTCTCAATGAATGAGAGCGACGGTGAATACTGATTTTCGAATCGTTGTTTGCAGGTGGAAGACAGTCTGGCTTGTACGGAGGCTGAGCCATCGGTGACTGTGAGTACTGAACCTTGGACCTGAGCTTGTTAGCATAAAAGATCTACCGGTGGAGGTAGATATATTGGAAGCAGGATTGACCAAAGCAATCAGAGGAAGTGAGGAAAGATTGCTAACCCTAAGCACATGTAGTGAGACGGTTGGCATATTTACGCGGACTTTCAAGTTGCTGCCATTCTCAGTCACATCAACAAGTAAAGAAGGCTCAGGCTTGATGCCATCATGCCTTGCAGTCTTGTAGGCTAAAGCCTCACCGAGCTTATCGGAGATGGTGCTGCCCAGCCAGGAATTCATCTTCGAGATGAAGAAAACATTCGGTAGACTGGCTACCTAGGTAGGTGTGATATGGTATGGTAAAATGGCTTGCTTGTACTGTGCCACCACTGACCAGGCGCGAAAACGTCGCGGGGAAGTCGGGAGACGCGAAGTTTGAGTGGAAGGTGCAGGCGGCGTGAAGTCTGGAGTCTGGACTGGAGCTGCAACTCTTAGCTTGGCGGCAAGATGTAGCGAGATGCATGACTCGAGACAAGACCAAAGACAGAGGTGGGCGGTGGGCGGTCGACCAGTCACTTGTGATGGGCGTCATGGGAACAAATACCGCAGAGTCCAAAGCAACTGCTGTTCGCGCCAACCACCCGACCTGTGTGTAACATTGTTACGACACAAGTCCTGCTGCTCTTTCTGGCTATCTGTCAACCACAATCTAGGATTTTGCGCTCCCGCCTACCGCCTGCCGATCAGCACTGATTGGCTACTTCCTTAAGCACTATTATACATTCCACCCCACGAGCAGGACTGAGCTACTCGGCGCAGCAAACGATGCGCCTACAAATCTTTTTCTACCGTTGAGCCCGTCGCCATGCCTCATACAGGTCGGATGGACTCATCACCAGCTTCGAGGCGGGCCTCGCTGTCGTCCATCAACTCGCCCACTGTAGACAAGGAGGCTTTGCAGAAAGAGCTGGATCACATTCATACCACCGCCTCGCGCTCAGACACTCTGACTTCGTTCAGCGACTTTGAGCGCAGCCGCAATAACAGCCCCCGTGTCCCTGGCCCCAAAGAGTTGGTTAGTGGCCGAATCAGTGGTCTGTACTCGCGCCTAAGGCAGAGTGTTGGAGCCTCGTCTCCTGCCTCAGACACCTCAGCCCGCCCCGCTAGCCGGGGCAGCTATACCGTTACAGATGCCTCGTCATTAAGAAGTTTCTCAAAACCAGAATCGCCTACACTTCTCCGTTCAAATCACGTTTCGCGTCCGAGCGACGCCAGTGCTGTCGTTGCAGAAACCGACTTTGCCCCCACTCCATCAATACCTTCGTCTGCTGTTCATTCGCGTCCAGGCTCTCGTGATTTGTCTCGCTCAGCTGTGCATACTGCTGCATCCTCTCCTTCGGCGAGACGCGTCTCTCCGCCCAAACAAGCTCATTATGCCGAAAGCAACCAGAACCAGTCGTCCGTGATGGAGAGCAAACGGTTGTCCCAAAATCTGGATGGAAGAGATGTACGACGTTCCTCGCAAAATCTTGAGGCGAAACGTTCCTCGGTCAACTTGGATAACAACCGGCCACCACCTAACTCTGACGGAAAGCGTCTGTCACAGTCTGACGCTCCGTTCATGGGCCCTCGACCAGAGCGTCCAGTGATCACCGTACAGTCTGAGCGAACCGACAGCCCGTCGAGTACTCATGTGTCTGCTGAACGACGTGATAGCGACGCCTCCTCGAGAACTCAAAACCATCCAAAGCCCGAACGTCCTCCACTCCGTGTATCTGCTTCTCATTTGCCTAACTTGCGAATATCACAGGCGTCTATACTTGACGGCGTTTTGGATACATCGTCTATTTTCAGTACCAAGCTTTCAACACCCATACTCGATACACATCCCAATCTCAATGCTGGGATGCAGAGTCGCCGAGTGCCACATAGAGAAGGGCAGCCACTGGATCCCTCGGAAAAGAAATCTACAAATATACCTGCCCATCTCAAACGCCGGGTTATCAGCAAAGAGTTCTGGATGAAGGATGAAAACGCTCGTGATTGCTTTTACTGTGGTGATCCCTTCTCGACATTTCGCAGAAAACATCATTGCAGAACATGCGGCCAGATTTTTGACGCAAAGTGTACCGTGACTGTTCAAGGCAAGCCATTTGGACAGTCAGGTACACTCAGGTTATGCAAGCCCTGCGACGCCATGATCTATGGCAGTGATGATGATTCGACAGTCTTTACCGATGAAGACGAGCCCATGAGATCTCCAATCTCTGCTTCTCACTCGCAGGACCAAGACATTTTCAAACCAGATGAGCCAGCTCTTGCAACACCATCAATCGGCATCCCGGTGTCAAGAAGGAATAGGGAGGCCAAAAGACGTTCTGCTGTCATCGAGTTTGATATGCAGCCTACATTGGCTCGTCCGAGTTCATCTCGTTCACTAAAGTCCATGACAGGAAGACCGCACTCTTCAAGTCACAAGCGTCACCACTCTCGCCATCAGTCCGTGCGTCCTCTGAAGACTCCTGCGGAGGAGCGAGGGCCGTTCTACCAAAATGTTGCTGAAACACAACGAAGGCCATTCACTGCCTTTCACAATGATAACATCATTGATCCCGATTTAGCTCCTTTTCTGTCTGACGATGGGTCTGATGCGGACGATCAGCCTAGTATCTATACCACCATCAGTGACGCTCCTGTACCCTCTTCGATGGACAACGAAAGGGCTGGATTCACAAGCTTGTTAGCTTCAGCAGTAAAGAAAGGTCGCTCACGGAGGGGTGATAGAAGTGCGGGTGGTCACAGCTTACGTGCCTCGCGTGACCTGGAGCATTTCATGTTTGCTTCTAAGCATCTTCCGAAGATGCGGAAACAGTGCAATCCGAGTATCGGAAGTGTTGGCATATCGCGTCCATCTCCCCGCAGGAGTCGTAGTCAGAACATGATGAAGACTTTCGAGGCTGGAGCGAACGATCCTTCTGTTTTTGACATTTTCAATCCTGTCCTTGCGGATCAAGCTCAGGTCAAAAGAAGTTCTGGTATGCATGGTCTGAACGCTCCTGCGGTCGAGCTCAACAGAGCCAGTCTACAACATGTGGAGCGCCTCTTAACTCAGCTGCTCAAAGAGTCCGCAATTCCTCGACGTCGACACTGGCAGAAGGCGCTGATGCCCATCCTCTTGCAATGTCCCAACGATGTTGATCCCGATGTCCAGAACGGCGACGATATGGACATTAGGAATTATATCAAGATCAAGAAAGTGCCTGGAGGTAAACCCGGCGATACTTCATATGTCTCCGGAGTCGTCTTCAGCAAGAACATTGCATTGAAAGGTATGCGTCGAAGCTTTGTCCGCCCTCGCATCGTGGTAATATCGTTTGCTATTGAATATGCCCGCCATAATCACCATTTTATGAGCCTGGAACCCGTCATTGCTCAAGAGCGAGAATATTTGCGCAATCTTGTGGGCCGAATTGTTGCACTGAAACCGCAAATTTTGTTGGTCCAGCGAAATGTGTCGGGTTTAGCTCTCAATATGTTGCAAGAGGCAGGTATTACTGTGGTTTACAACATCAAGGAATCGGTACTTGCTGCCGTTGCCCGAATGACACAAACCGTCTTGATCAAGTCAATAGACAAGCTGTCAATCGACCCTTCCGGACTGGGACAGTGTTCTAACTTCGATGTCAAGACATATGTCCACGGAAACATCAGAAAGACCTATATCTGGATATCTGGCTGTCAACCTGATCTTGGCTGCACCATTGTCTTGCGGGGCGCAGAGATGGAAACTCTTCGTCAGATCAAACGGATCACAGAATTCATGTGCTACGTTGTTTACAATTTGAAACTCGAGACTTGTCTCATGAGGGACGAATTCGTGTTGATTCCTTCTTCAATTAGCACTGCCAAGTCAACTCCTCCCGATAACAGCGTCGTCACTTCCAAAGCAGTGGATGTCGGGAACGTTCCTGCCACACCAACAGCCTCGACGCAAGCAGAAGCTCAAAGCAACACAACCGAAAACCCAGTCAGGAACGAGGACGAAAGTTCCGAAAACAAACCTAATGCCCTGAACCACCTGGTGGAGGCAGCTCGACACGTCGCGCCCGAACCCGCTGCCAAAGCACAGGATGATCAAGATGCCGAATCCATGCCATCGCAGTATAGAGAACTAATTGAGACAGCACGGACTCGACTGATCTCATCATCACCTTTTGTCAAGTTTCCCGAGCCAGTCCTTCTTGCTAAGGTTCAAGACCAAGAACGAAGAGTTGAGCAGACAAAACGACTTCGAGACCGCTACGATGCCTTTGAGATCGAGCACGACCACCACGAGAATGCGCGGGAAAGCAAAGAGGAGGACATTGCTCAGGAAGAGAAGTTCCAATTGGTCATGCCGGAGATGATCTCCAAAGCTGTTCCTGCAGATCAAAGCAAATCCACTCGAAAGTTCCTTCGAGACATACATGATGCGCAATATCAAATGGCTCTACATGAGTATGGCATCAAGAAACGCCAATGGGAATCCTTCTTCTCAATCAGTAACAACAACCCCTTTAACCCATTCAGCCACCAGAACATCTTTGTTTTACACTCCCTCGTTAGCAACGCCTTGTCTGCACCTTGTGCTGGTCCCGAAGTTCTAGGCCTCTCGTTCTATGCTGGTTGGGGAAACGCTGAATTGGGACTGGAAGAAGACCTTACTCTTGGTCAGTTCATCGAGGAGACTTGTGCATCTGCATCCACCGCGTGCAAGCAATGCAGTCACCGTATGTTTGATCACCATCGCCAGTACGTTCATGGCGGCGGCCAGATCAGTGTCTCTGTCAAACGCTTCCCGTCCAAGTTTCAAAATCTTCACAACACAATCCTCATGTGGTCGACTTGCAAGATATGCCAACAGGAGACCACGTGGATACCAATGTCAGACAATACCTGGAAGTATTCTTTCGGCAAGTACTTGGAGCTCAGTTTCTGGAGTACACCATTGAAACCAAGAGCAGGTGTATGTCCACATGATATACACAAAGACTTTGTTAGATGTTTCGCGTTCCAAGGCCTCGCTGTTCGCATCCAGTGGGATAATATCGATTTGTACGACGTCTTGGTACCGACGCCAACAATCAACTGGGAGGTCAATTCTGGACTCGAGCTCAAGAATCAGCTCTATTTGCACTTCCAAGCGCGTCTATCAGCTTTCATCGCATCCATTAGAGTTCGCCTGGATTCTATCAATCTCTCAACTGTCGCACCGGAAAAGCAAGCCGACGCCTCAGCAACCTTAGAAAAGCTGTCACAGAGAGTAGATAGCGACCACGAGACACTGTTGCAAAAACTCCAAGACAAGTACATGGCTTCCAAATTTTATGAGATCATTCCTCTCAATCGAGCAGTCCGAATGATGGACGAGAAGGCGCTTGCTTGGGACGACGAGTTTAATGACTTCGAGACCAAGTTCTTCCCATCTGAGCATGATATCAGAAGACTGGCTACGCTTCAGCTGAAGAAATTATTCCTCGACCGAGGAGAAGCGGCCGGAAGCTCTCACTATGATCTGGGTGATGCCGACGAGGGCATGGAGATGAAAGAAAGACCGTCTTCAGGAATGGGCCTTACTGATGAAGATCTTCAATCGGAGAAGGCTCAGCACATGCTCACAGCTGTCGTTGAAGAACACGGTCACTCAAAATCCGACACAGGTACAACCATCGACTCTCTCGACTCGAGAAACCAAAGTATCGAAGTTCCAGACAATCTGAGACTCTCCAAACAACTGTCGCCAAGCGAAATAGAGCAGGCTGTTGAGAGGGAGGATGTTAAACATCTTGACCTCGCTGTCCCAGTAGCCTTCTCCGAACCTCCGGCGGATCAAGAAACTCCGCGAGCTGAAAATGGTCCACAAGAAGGAGAAACTGCCGAGTCGAAATCTCCCGAGACGCCCATGGTTGATCCGAAACCCCTGAACTCCAGTATACTCGAACGTATCGAACAGATGCGTTCTGCCGCAGCAGCAGCAACCAGTCCTGAAGGAGGCATGCCTGAGTCAAAGATCCCACGTCTTGTGCGCACTCGAGGACCTATATCTCCACCACTTGCTCGAACCCAATCGCAACCCGATGGAATCCCAAAGAGGACCGTAGAGCCTTCATCAGATTTGCCAACAATCCACTCCATTGCCAGTGGCGAAAGTTCAGGCACCACCACACCAACTCCCGGGAAACAACAGAATAAAGATCTTGCCAAATCTATCGAGCTCCGATTGAGTGATCGTTTGGGAGGCGGCTATATCAAAAGTGGAAGAGCACAACAGTCCTTGATACCAAGGTCTGTGCCAAGCAAGACCTTTGACAACAATACTCGCGTATCAGCGCTGGCCAAACATTTCGAACAGCTGTCTCGTGAGTTTGAGAGAGAAAGAGCACGTGAGCGTAGACAGCGAGCGGCTCGTCGAAGGCAAGTCCGCGCCAACCCTTTGGCTAGCAGTAAACCTGTTGTTGAGGTTTATCGCGATGCTCGCGAAGCTGTTGGTGAGAAGACAGAGCCCGAGAACGTTAATCCTCCCATGGACGAGTCAAACGAAACATCGGACTTGCCAATGGAAGAAGTACCTGATCCAGATTCAGAGGCTGTCCAAAACCCTCACGACGTTGATGACGCTACGGATAATGAAACTGCAGAATCTACCACTGGCCACACAGATACCGATGTTGAAGGTGACACAACCGACAACGAGATACACCCGCCATACAAACCTGGTCACTCGGATCTTGGATCAACCTCCGGTAATGGATCTGCTGCGTCTCCTCATGGTGCAGATTCACATCTGGAAATGACATTACCGAGACATGAGAAGCATTCCCTTATGAAGATGCTCACAAGCTTCTGGTCTGAACGCTCATCATCAGGCTGGAAATCACTCGACTACCCTCTTCACGCCAACGAGCACGTCTTTGATGATAGCGACATCATCGTACGTGAAGACGAGCCTGCTTCAGTTATCGCTCTTGCGCTTTCTTCTATAGACTACACTGCCAAACTCAAAGAATTCCGCGGTAATCCAAACACTGGCTTCCATGGGCATCACGGTCACACTGAATCACAATCCAGCTTTAACTTTGCGGCAGACATCAGTAGTAATGATGCCAGCCAACAATCAGCCATCGAGGCGAGTTTGATCAGCGAGACAGGAACACACATGAAATACAGCTTCAGCCACAATAACGTTCGCGCGACCTGTAAAATCTTTTACGCCGAATCCTTTGATGCTCTGCGAAGAAAATGTGGTGTCAGCGAACGATTCGTCGAGTCTTTGTCGCGATGCGCAAAATGGGACTCCAAAGGCGGAAAGACCAAATCACTTTTCTTGAAGACGCTGGACGATCGCTTCGTCATCAAATCGCTACAGGAAGTCGAGCTCAAAGCTTTTACCAAGTTCGCGCCTGACTATTTCGCTTTCTGCGCACAAAGCTTGTTCCACGGCGTTCCTTCCGTAATTGCGAAGATGTTTGGCTTGTTCCAAGTTGAGTTGCGCAACCCATCCAACGGCGTCGAGTTCTCTTCTTACCTTCTTGTCATGGAGAACTTGTTCTACAGCCGCAACCCTACCCGAAAGTTTGACTTGAAAGGCAGTATGCGCAATCGCAAGATTGAGAGTACTGGATTACCTGATGAAGTCCTCTTGGATGAAAATCTCGTCGAGACAATTTTCGAGAAGCCTCTGTTCGTCAGAGAGCATGCTCGAAAGTTGCTCAAGGCCAGTGTGTGGAACGATACAATGTGGCTGTGCAGACAGAATGTTATGGACTATTCTCTGATGGCCGGCTTCGACGACGAGAAGAAGGAGTTGGTTGTCGGTATCATTGGTAAGTGTCGCCTTATCTTCCTCCACTTTAGACCAAACACTAATCTTTGTGCCTTGCAGATTGCATCAGAACATACACCTGGGACAAGAAACTCGAATCCTGGATCAAAGACCGCGGCAAGAACAAGCCAACAATCACTTCTCCCAAAGACTATCGCAACCGCTTTAGAGTGAGCATGATGCAATACGTCTTGCAAGCACCTACCGTATGGCACTCTTTCCTCGCGCCAGGTCTGCCTGTCACTGGTGTGACCTTCAATGCCGCAGGAGGAGTCGAAGTCTCAAGAAACGGCACTGTGACTGCAGCGGTGATGGCAAATGCAGAAGGCAGAAGTGTCGCTGGCAGTTGGGAGGAGAGGAGTACAGTAGACGAGGATCGCAGGCTTGCACTTACAGAGGGTCAGGTGTTGGATGATGCGACCATTAGGGAGATGTCGACCATGTCGTTTGTCTAAGATGGTTTCTCTTCTCTTCTCGCATTTTTTTTTGTAGCCATGCAGTCTCACAAAGCATAGCGAAGGCGTTTCGATAGGATTAAGTGCACAGAGTTACCGCACGCAACACACCAACACACACAATGAATTCCTTCGAGGACAAAGTGGCGATCGCGAGTAAAGGCCGTTCTGAATCAATGCTGACCTGACACGCTTTCGTTGGACATCTACTCTTGAGATCAACATGTCTTTTCGAACCCATCTCGCGATTCTCATTTGGTGAATCAAGGTGATGCTTAAAGATGTAGTGATAACAGAAGCATCACAAGAAGATAGGTTTTGTTATATTAGGTAAAGTTGTAGACTTAGGTCTTGCTATCGAATATCCTCCTCGCCCATCGCAGATCAGAGAGCAATTGAATGATCACGAATGACCACAAACTCCAGTGCTGCAATGCTCACGCACGAGCTTTACCATATCTGGTCTCAAAACCAGACGGCTCCCCGTTGATGATGATGTACATCTCTAGAGCCAACTCTCTGAGGCTACTTACCAGACCCATCTGACCCCTGCCTTGATATATCCTGCTGGCATTCATCAACTGGTCGACTACTTGGGGAGCTGACATTGCATCAGTTCTGTCAAACTCGACGTCCTCTCCAGTGATAGTCAACTTGTAGCCATGAGCATCAATGACTGCAAGAGCATGCTGAAGTGACTTGTCAGGATTGCTGCGTGAGTAAGCGAATGCACAGTATCGATTTAAGGTAATCAAGCCGGGGCGTGGAAGACCGCGGTAGTACTCTTCTGGATAAGTGTCTTCAATCTGTGCCAGGAGGTCTTCGAACATCATTACGACGTCACGTGGTTCAAGAGTAGCATTCAGTACTGGAAGTCTCTCGAGCACTTCCTTGGCTTGCTGTAGAAGCTGTTTGCGTCGTGGAAGTGCTGGACACGTCCTGTCCGCTTCGCAGAGCTTGCAGTCACAACTGAAACCCCAGGTGCGGAGCGCAGCATCACGCGTCTCGTAGCATGCATTGACCTCTTTGTAGAGTGTGGTAATCTCCTTGTCTTTGGCAATATCGCGAGTAGCTCTGAAAATGATCATGTCGCCGATGAAGCTGTGCTCAGCATTGTATAGACAGGAATGATTGATGGCAGATGAGTGTAGCCAGAGTCCCATCGATCCGTCCTTGCTGTCCATGCCTGGAGTTGCCAGAGCAGCGTTGCCAAAACTGGTGAGACTGGCATCATGAGCGTACCCGAAAGAGTTGTACTCTATGATGTTCTCAACGCGGAAAATGTCAACAACAGGTCGGCCATCAAGCATTGGAATGTCAAGGTCGTTCAGTGGAGAGTAGTTCGGACCAGCATACAGACTCAGAAGTCTAGGGCCGATACTGGGGTTAGCAAGTATCTTTTGGATGACTTCGGTCCACATATTGCTCTGTGTACCGAAAGTACCCCTGGTGGCTGCTGGCGGAATCACCAAGTGGAAACTCTTAGGCACAGCTGGCGATGGCACAAATGCCAGTGCTTTCTCACAGAGAATGATATCACCACATGCAATGGCTTCCACGGCGAAAAGACCACGACCATGAGCCTGCGTTTGACGTGCTTCGGTTCTGCGCAGGAAGTCGGCATGATCTACCTTGGTTCCATGTGCCTGCGGTCCAGTTGCTGCCCAGAAGTTGATACCAGTCACTTGTTCGGCCATGCGTGCCTCTGTCCGCTTGAGCTCGCGTAGACCGTCAACGTCGTTGGGAGCAATTCTGGTGACTGAAGTGTACGCTGAGTGTGCGCGGTCGTATGCACCGAGCTCGTAAGCTGCACGTCCCGCTCGATAAAAGGCCTTCATGTTTTGGAGGTCCGCAAATTCATCCGGTTTGGCAGGAAGTGGTCGCATGCCAGCCATTGCATCGGTGTATGCTCCATCCCAACGCTCGAGACAGAGCCGAGCTTGTGCTCTGTTACGGCGGACAATGCCTCCGACGACGTCTTTTGCTTGACTTGCCGTCATGGCGGCAAGTGCTCTACTGTAACTAATTCAGAAGTGTCAGCGAGGTTGATTGACATATGAGTATTGCAGTACAAACCATCGCTCGGCCTCCATTGGATCGTCGGATCTCAAAGCTTCGTTCCCGGCTTGCTTCCACTGGGTGGGTGAATTGCTGACGACATCGGTTCTCCAGGCACATGGTAGCATGGGATCATCGACGTCCAAGAAGAGGATGTCAGATGGATGGTCGATGCACAGGACACAAGCCTCGTCCAGGACAGTACGGAAATAAGGTTCCTTGACCACGAAGAAAGATCCGATCTGTATTTCCTTGGACAGATGATTGGTGACTGCAAAGTCGTGAATGGTGAGGAGTTCGATGTCACCGTTCTCGTCTTCAACAGCAACGCAAGTTTGCATTGAGGAATGCATGGCTGAGACGCTAGCAGCACGAAGAACAAGCATCATGCCGTAGTGGTGGGTCTCCATCGAGAGGTCACGGAGCATAATCTATGGTCTTGTTAATGATGGCTGAAATCGATAGTCAGCTTGACAAGCACATGCCTTGGTGAGGGATGCGATAGAACAAGCACTTGGGGTGTGCGGCTCGCTCAGAATCATGTTCCAAGCAATTCTGCGTTGGTCTAATTTGGGGACCGAGAGCTCGGGCTCTTGGCCTGGCATTCGCTCGAGTGGTGGTCTCGGTGATTGTACAATGACCTGTTTCGTACGGATGTCAAACAGGAATCCGAGTGATCGATGCGAGTATTGACGGAATACGTACCTTGGGCGCAAGTCTCTGGAATACTGAGGCTCTAGACGAGGCAACTCTCCTCAGACCTTGACGCTCTCTTGCCTGCTGGCGAAGGCGAAGTTTGGCCACCTCCAGCTCGGCCTGAACCATCTCAAGCTTTTGAGCTGGGGTGACGGTGGTCGAAGCCATTGGGCTAGTAACTTGGACAGTAGGAGCATTGGGGCTGACCGTGGAAGCAGAAGGCTCGGGTGTGTAGGGTGGTGGTGGTGTTAGGGGTTCCATGTTAGCAGTTCATATAACGATATGAAAGCAATACTTGAACGAAGGTAGCAATGATTGATGCGGTATAAGTTATCGCGCAGTGAAACTGTAGGTACCGGAGGTCAAGTATGGCGATGGTGCGAGAGAAGGAACACCTAGATGACTGGGAAATGATGGTGAAAAGCAAGAGCAAACGACTCAGTGAGTTGCCGCGCGGCAAGCTGTTCGCAGTGACGGAGATTTGCGTATGCCGTGAAGGAGAGGTGCATACTGTAAGGGAAGCTGCAGGTGAAGAAGCCACGCGACCAGGCCTTATGCAAACCTAAACCGGAAGGACTCTCCATCCACACTATACAGATCTGGTACTATCTTTGAGATTTTACAGCTGAATCTTGATCGATCTCTGTCATGGGAAACAGGACATGCAGGCATGCCTATATAGTCGGTGGGAGGTACGTCGAGGAGAGAAAGCCAGGCCAGGCAAAATCAACATATCGTATTCTACCTGCCTTAGCTCACTGAGATACTGATGATTTTGATGTCCTCCATGGGCTTCTCCTTCCACACCTTCGCATTCTCAATCCTGTGTACGACATCCATACCTCTAACCACACGTCCGAAGATTGTATGCTTGTCGTCCAACCACGGTGTCTTTTCCGTAGTAATAAAGAACTGACTCGCGTTGGTGTTCTTGCCAGCATTCGCCATGCTGACCGTGTAAGGCTTGTCATGACGCAAAGCAGGAGTAAATTCATCTTCGAAGTTTGTGCCCCAGATACTGTCACCTCCAGTACCATCGCCCAGTGGATCACCAGTCTGAATCATGAATTTGCGAATGATACGATGGAAGATGATCCCATTGTAGTAGTCGTTCTTGCTGTGAACAGTGAAGTTCTCGACCGCTTTTGGAGCGTGTTCGGGGTACAGACGTATCTGAATGTCACCCATAGATGTGTGGATAGTCGCCGATGTGCCTGTCTGAGCCTTTGCAGCTTCTGCTTGTTGTTTTGTTGCGATCGTGCGCGGCTTTTCGTTGTGGATATCGCGGTCGGACTTGATGATATCGGTGTCGTTTGTGAACATGTAAAAACGCACTTTTCCTGATCCTGTAGCGACCAGCATCGAATCACGAGCCTCGGCTTGCTGTAATAGCGGATTATCACTGGCAGCCATCTGAACAGTTACAACACCCTTCTTCTCTGGCTGGCCCTGGTAGAGAGCCAAGTTCAGAGCTCTGAAAGGTTCATCCTTGCCATAAACCTTGACAACTCGATTTGTCAAGGTATTGATGACCTTTGTTCCTAGTATAGATCCATAGAGAATGAAGTTGCCGGTTTCATCAAAGATGACATTGATGCGAGCGCGAACAGTAGGGTGCTCCAACTCACGCTCGACGCCTAACCTGCGTCCGAATTCGACATCGTCTAATTTGTCAATGGCCGTTCCTGCCTGCTGCATCTCGGTAATTGTAACCAATGATTCGTCGTAGGTCCTATACAATTTGCCAGTGGGGAAGTCGAAGATGCGGACTTTGCGATCTGGAAAAGACATGGTTGCGAACTGCTGGCCAGTGGGAGACATGGTAATGGACGAAGGAACAGATTTTGCTTTCTTGAAATCGAACAGGTTTGTTGAGCTCTTTATGGAGAAGACGTTGTCAGGCTTCTCGTAATTGCTCGAAGGACTCCAGTATTCGACCATGCCGCCTTCATCGACGGATACGACACAGTCATATTGGTGGTTGTATGACATTAGTGAGACGGGGACTCTGTGAAGCTTCTCAAGCTTGTGTAATGGTGTGACGTTCTCGCCTCTGCCGTCATATATGGTAATTTGAGGACTGGACTCGTGGGAGACAGCCAATAGTGGAAGAGAGGCACCGCGACCATGTACAAAGCACACGGCTCTTGGAGCAAGTTCAGGAGTGAGCATAGCCAGTAGATCGAAGGTGATGACATCGAAAATCTTGACAGAGCCGTCGCTACCAGCAGTCGCGAAACTACGGCCATCAGCGCTCACGCTGACGCTCTTGACGTCTCCCTCGTGTGCCTTGAACTCTTTAACAAACTCGATGCCATCTGCCACCTTCTTCCAGAACTTTACTACACCGTCAATTGATGTAGTGATGAGGAAATCGGTATGAGGGGTGAAGGTGTTGAAGCATAGTTGGTCTTTGTGCATCATTGATTTCGAGTATCTCGACGAGGCAGGCAGGGCGGCGACATATAGTTTTTCGTATGGAAGCTTCCTTCGTTTCTTGGTCTTTGGAGCGGCAGCTGAGGGCAGTGCTGGCCCAATGTCGTCGTCGTCATCAGAGGATGTGTCTAGAACAAATTAGCAAGAGTGTTGGTCGAGGTCAAGAGTGTCGCATGGTTACCATCGGCATCGTCGTTGGTCGCATTGCTGTTCTGGAGGGCAGCGTCTTCAGCGTCGACTTGGTCTCTCGTGCGCTTTGTGCCTTGCGGCGATGCGACTTGTGCTGCGTCAGCCATTGGTATTGGAGAACAATCGTCTTCTGGACAAGAAAGTGGTCGGTGTCGGTGCATTAGCTCCCGTCTCGCGCTAAAAAGGCCGAGCGACGCGTTTGACTCACGAAGCTTAGCATCGATGTCATTGGCGGTCGTCGTTTCCCTGTCACAATTCCCGACTTGTTCTGTTTGCCTTGCCACCTTCTACACTCAAACAGATTCACTCTCGACACTCCTCGCGCTTTCTTTGCACTTGCAAGCGTTTGTTTGTCTTTTTCTCGTTCTATCAGGCCGCTTTTTATTGAGCCTGCCATTTCCTTTTGCTAAAAGTTGCCACGACATTTGTGCTACAATCTATCTCGCCCACAAACCACGACTACCATAACTCCATCACCACCTATTCATACACCTCTGAACGCCACAACAGTCATGTCTACCGCCGAAACTGCTCCCATGCCTCAACCCGAGTCCCAAAATCCTCGCTCATCCAATCGTCCTCGCAACCGCAGACCACGTAGTGAGAGAAACCCCGACTCTACAACCACCCAGAACGATCCTTCGTCAGACGCTCCCAATCCTGCTCGCAGGCGAAGAGGCGGTGGAGGAAGAGGCCGCGGCGCTCGCGACCCTCTTCTCGCATTGAGACCATCTTCAGTCACACCCTCCACCCAACCATCCTCTATCGAACCCTCAAGCGCCGACGTTTCAGGTACAGAGGCCAACACAAGAAATGAAGAATCGCGAAGGAGCAGAGGTGGTGCAAGAGGCGGAAGAGGGGGAGCTCGAGGTGGTAGAGCCCGAGGAGAGAACAGGACTGTCAACGGCAGAGCCTTTGGTGGCCAACTTACTTCGGATGGCGAATTACAGGCCGACGCTACTACCTTCGTTCCCGGACAACCCATTCTCAATCAAGGTGCTACCTCGCAGCAGACCCAACCTCGTTCGCAAAGGCGCCGTCTTTCCAAGTCAACAGCTCCCGACATCGCAACTCGTACTCACTACGATATTGACAATGGTCATTATGAATGCCCCATCTGCACAAGCGAGGTTCTTCGCAATTCAAAGGTGTGGTCATGCCATACTTGCTGGACCGTTTTCCACATGTCCTGTGTCAAAAAGTGGTCTCAGAATCAAGGTTCTGCCGCTGCTCAGCAGCAGGGTCGTGAGAACGGCGACATACCTCCCCCTCGACAGTGGAGATGCCCTGGATGTAACCTTCCGAAAGATACCTTACCCAAGACGTATACATGCTGGTGCGAGAAGGAAGTTGAGCCACGCCCAGTCACTGGTCTGCCTCCTCATTCTTGCGGAAACACTTGCGGTAGGGAGAGAGTCCGCAAATGCCCTCATCCTTGTCAATTGACCTGTCACGCCGGCCCTTGCCCTCCCTGTACCCACATGGGCCCTACTCAAACTTGTTTCTGCGGCAAGCACGAGTCGACCCGCCGCTGTACCGACACCGACTACGAGAATGGCTGGAGCTGTGGCGAGGTCTGTGGTGATCTCATGCCCTGCGGAGAACACGAGTGTCCTAGACCTTGCCATGAGGGTCTCTGTGGAGCTTGTGAAGTACGCGTCGATGCTCGTTGCTATTGTGGCCAGGTCGAGAAAGCTTTGCTATGTGCTGACCGCGGCGATGAAGTCACCAGCCACAAAAAGCACGTTGCTGAAGATGGTCAGGATATCGTCGAAGAGTGGACTGGCATGTTCGCTTGCGCTAACTCCTGCGACCGTGCCTTCGATTGTGGTATTCACCATTGCCAAAAGCCTTGCCACTCGCAGGAAGCCGATCCCGGACACTGCCCTCGTTCTCCTGATGTGGTGACACACTGCCCATGCGGCAAGACCAAGCTATCCGAAATTTCACCAGAAGCCCGCACTTCTTGTGAGGATCCCATCGCAAATTGCAAGAAGCCATGCATGAAGAAGCTGTCCTGCGGCCACTCCTGCGAACAATTGTGTCATTCTGGCGCATGTATGCCTTGTCTCAAGGCTGTTCCCATTAGCTGCCGTTGTGGTAGAACAACTTCAACCACCATCTGTCACCAAGGCAAGATTGAGCCTCCTCAATGTATGAGGGTCTGCAGAGCCACTCTCAACTGTGGCCGTCATGCATGTGATGAACGCTGTTGCGAGGGTGAGCGCAAAGCTGCTGAACGACAGGCTCTTAAGCGCAAGGGTCGCAAGCTCGAAGAAGCTCACATTCGACCTATTGATGACGGCTTCGAGGCTGAGCACATCTGCACACGCCCTTGTGGTAGACCCCTCAAATGCGGTAATCACTTCTGCGAGGATCTCTGTCATAAGGGTCCCTGCGGATCTTGTCGAGAAGCGATCTTTGACGAGATCAACTGTAATTGCGGTCGTACGGTTCTGACACCACCTCTACCTTGCGGCACTCAACCTCCGCCTTGTCGCTTCCAATGCAACCGCCCCAAGACATGTGGTCATCCTCAGGTCCAGCACAATTGCCACATGAACAATGAAAGCTGTCCAAGATGTCCTTTCCTGGTTGAGAAGCGCTGCATGTGCGGCAAAAAGAGTCTCAAAAATCAACAATGTTGGTTGAAGGATGTCAGCTGTGGACAAATTTGTGGTCGCAGACTCAAATGTGGCTCCCATTTCTGTACGAAGCCCTGCCATCGTGAAGGTGATTGTGAGGATGCTGGTGGCCGACCTTGTCAGCAGCCCTGCGGAAAGGCCAAGAAGGCATGCGGTCATCCAGACGAAGCCATATGCCATGCTCCTTCTGCTTGTAAAGAGGATAAGGCCTGTACTCACAAGATCTTCATCACTTGTGAGTGTCAAGCTCAGAAACAGGAGATGCGATGCAATGCGTCCAAGACCAGTGAGGGTAACCTCAACAAGTCTTTGCCTTGTAACGATGAGTGTGCTAGACTAGAGCGCAACCGTAGGCTTGCACTCGCGCTCAATATTGACCAGGAGGCACATGTTGAGGGCGGTGACCATGTCCCCTTCTCTAATGAGACTCTCAATCTCTATGCAGCTCACCCTACTTGGGCTTCAAACCAAGAACGCGAGTTCCGTGTGTTTGCGGCTGCAGATGACGAAAAGAGATTGAGGTTCAAGCCTATGACTGCTACCCAGCGAGCCTTCATCCACCATTTGGCTGAAGACTTTGGCCTGGACTCCGAAAGCATGGATCCTGAGCCTCATCGTCATGTTGCAATCTTTAAGACACCACGTTTCGTCCGTGCGCCGCCGAAGACATTGAAGGAGAGTGCGCGCATCAGAAACGCTCAGCGTCTGGCGTCTGGCAAAGCAGTTGCTACCAGCGAAGCATCAGCAAACCAGACTCGTGCGAACGAAGTTGGAGAGCCCTTTAACAGCTTCGTTATCGTGCGCCCACGCTTTGGTCTTATGATCGAAGAGGTCAGGACAGAGCTGGCCTCATTCGCACTTCCTGTTCAATTCGATGTTGAATTTTTGCCCAGTGAGGAAGTCGTCATCAAGGCTATCAGCCGTACTCTTGATGAACAGGCACTCGACCAGACACTCAAGAACGCCAAGGCTCCTATTGCTACCGCTATCGCAGCGAAGAGTCTTGGTACACTGCAGCTTTGCCGTACAGACTCTTCGCTCAACATCACGCGTCGCGAGACCGAAAGCGGTGTCAGTGATGGTTGGTCTCGCGTTGCTGCAAAGAGTGCAGCATCGCGTCGCCCAGTTGTTCAGGCAGCATCCTCCAACAACAACCTATTCTCCGCTCTTGCTGGTGGAAACAAGGTTACTTTCGCTAAGAAGAAGGAGAAGAAGCCCGTTGTGCCCGCAGAGCCTGTTGTTGATGACTGGGAAGCGGCAGAGATTGCAGAGGAAGAGAAGGAGAAGTTGGCTAGTGGCCACAATAGTGGTGTAGAGGATGAGGTGCCGAAGGTTGAGGCTAGCAATAGTGCCGATGCTGCTGTTGAGGGTGGCAGTGTTGAGACCAAGGTTCCTGAGGTCGAGACCGTGCCTGAAGCAGATTCAATCGACAACACATACAGCGAAGTCAACGTGAGAGAGCCAGAGTCTGCTGGACCTATGACTGGAGACGAAGAAGTCAAGGAAGCAGAAACAGCATAGGTGTTCTACAGTGGAAACTTGAGATAGATCAATTTATGGTTTGACCATCAATGTACTTCTTGGCATCATCATCATAAATGCATATCTTCCACGCTCCGTTATAGAAACCGTCACAGCGTAGCTCTTGGACTGCACGAATGTTCTAAAACCAAAGTGTGACCATGGAGACTTCTGAGATTGCGTTCTTTCCACGGTGTATTGTTTCGTGCTGTAAGATATTTTGCATTTCCATAGACGGGAAGCACGCTCCGTCTATGCCATTCTGGAGGATAACTCGTGATAGATCGACTATACGTACAGTAAATAGTGCTCGAGTAGAAAGTCATTTATGTGTTAGCTGATTATCTAGAGAAAGAAAGTAAGACTCCAACAAAGTGAAGTGAAGCAATTTAGGCAACAGTGTCTCAGCAAGCAAGGCACAACTCGTCTTGCATATGAACAACACCATGACACTTGAACAAGACACTGGCACTTTCACACCCCCAACGCCGAAAGATATCTTCTCAAAGTTCGAGACGTCGCTTTTTCTCTGTTTGGTATCATTCCAACTTGCTGTGCATCAACGCACTTCGAGATCTTCCAGCCAAAATGTGTCAACTCTGCGTCCTCAACACTATATCGCAAAGCTCGCGCTGGCCTAAACCACTCGAACCACTGATCTCTGACTTGCACCTTCTTGTCAACACCGCACACTCTGAGTTCAGTCGCTACAAACCCTTTACTCCTTTAAGCACAACAGCCAAACTACACTCAAGCATCATCGTAACAACTACCACCACTCCAAACCCGGCAACGGCTCTCCTCTCAACTCTTCGCGACATCAAAACACTGCTCGAGTTGCTAGAAGACGAAAGAACTACCTGGTGGAGCGGCAAAGCCAAAGAGAGACAATACTGGAGAGAAGCCTATCAAGAAGACAAAATCACTAAGATTAATGTTGTCAACAACAAGACAATTGAGATGATTGAGGGTCTCAAAGCTAGATTGGGAACGTTCTGTCGCTGGAGTTTGGGGCTGGAAGATGGAGTTGAGGGGCTTGATGGGGTTGAGAAGGAGAATGGAGGTGTTGAAATGGAGGGCAAGGATGTTCAGATGGAAGGTTGAGGAACTGGAGAACAACATATGTATACGCGAGATGACTTCAGGCAAATGTGTTGCTGAAGATGCCGCATGATACAGCTGGTCTTGAAGTTAGAGTTGCTTCGTTGCAATTATGATCATCACCAGTTGTTTTTGGACTTGACACACGCTGCAGATAGGCCGTCTAAGATAGGTTGCTCGATGTCTTTGCTCGGCTAAACTTTTCACCATCGTTCATTATTACATCCTGGGTATCGTGGTGCTAACAACGGTTCATCGTTCGTCATAAGTCGTCGATGCCTTTCACTGACTCTTATGGATCAAATTGTCGGTGGCCTGGACTCGCTGTGCCCACTCTGTCCAACTGCCATCGTAGACTCTTCTGTTAGTCTCAGGGAAACCGGCCTCAGTCAAAGCAGCGTCGATGACACTGGCAGTGACTCCTGTGCCGCAAGAGCTGATGATGGGCTTGGAAGGGTCCACTCCCTTAGTTCTGAAGATATCGAGCAGTTCGTCTCTAGAAAGCAGTGTCTTGGTCTTGGGGTCCAGGAGTTCGGGCAGGGCAACGCTGATAGAGCCGGGAATATGGCCAGAAGAAAGTCCAGGCCTGGGCTCAGGGTCGGCACCACTCCAGCGACCATAAGATCTGGCATCCAAGATTTGCACACCTTCTCTGCCTTCCTTGTTGTAGTCCTTGGCAACCTCCTTGACTTGTTCAAAAGCAGCGACCTTGGAAGGATCAATTTGTGGCTCCGGATATTGTGACTCGGGCAGATCCCTTTGTTCGCCTTGCTCGACCGGAAGACCCTCCTCAACCCAAAGCTTGTAGTTGTTCAGGATGTGAATGCTTGGATGGCCGAATACGCGAAGAGTCCAAGCAACTCGAGGTGCGCTGAAGATGCCAAGCTCGGCACTGTCGTATACAACGATGTTATCATCGCGGCGGATTCCTAGCTTGCGCATAGCTTCGGTGAAGACTTGAGGGCTAGGCAACATGTGAGGGTATGGAGAGCTGGTGTCGGCTACAATATCGAGGTCGAAGAAGCTGTTGAGGTCAGTCTTGCGTGAGCGAAAGGAGATGTGGAGCGAAGTACCGAGCACCAGGAATATGACCCTGCTTGAAGACCTCATATCCCGTTCTTTTCTCGGGGTCGTTGGGCATGAACCAGCTGGCACACAAGGGGATGACTCGAGGCGAGGTAGCCAACTTGGTGGGGGCATTGCCTTTCAGAGCAGCATTGAGCTCGGCAGGCTTGACCAGATAGGATGAGAGAGACATTGCTCGTTGCGCCGACATGTTGTGAAAGGGATTGAAGGAAGGTCGGAGAGGTGAGAAGGTAGAGGAGGTCGCGGAACGAAGCAACGAGGCCATGCTGCCCCACTCGAGCTTGGTGAGGTGTGGAGACTGTTGTTGATGGTGTGATTTCTAGAGGGGACAAGTATACGGCCTTGTGCAGTTATGCTCTTCCAGATGCCGTCCAGGTTCTTATTGTAATGTGGAAGGAAGACAGATGGTTGGAGTACTAGGCAGGTAATTCCGAAGGAAGCCACGAAAGGTGGAGCCTTCGAGCACGCCTTTTCCCATGTGACACTGTCGATCCCCTCGCGATAAGGTGCATTTTATCCTTATCGCCTACGTCAAGGGTCCGAGCTTCATCTTGCGCGTGAAAACAACCCACTCCACACTTTGACGAAAGACCCTGGCTCTGTGTATACACCTACCTGGTAGAAGCGCCTGCGATATACAGAAGCCTTACCAGCAACATGAAGGTCAAGATCCTCTCATACCACGCTGTCGCCGCCTGGCGCTGGGACATGCCCGAGGACGATGACTGTGGTATCTGTCGTGTTCAGTTCGATGGTACTTGTCCGAAATGCAAGTTTCCAGGAGACGATTGTCCTATCAGTACGTGCCTGTCTTCACATGCTGTCATCTTGTGCTAACTCGATTTCAGTCATGGGACAGTGCACACATTCATTTCACATGGTATGTTGCATCGTTCGTCGCTACGAATTGACAGACTAACATCAACCAAGCATTGTCTCGATACCTGGATCAATCAGGAGTCCAGTCAAGGCAGATGTCCCATGTGCAGACAAGGTGCGTAAACTCGGTCCAGGTTCATTGTTCGTGTAAGGGTTGTGGTGCTAACAAGAACAGTCTTTCGCATCAAAGGAACCGCCGATCAGAGCGAAGTTCAAGCCGAGCAAACCTCTCAGTCTTGAGTCCTGCGCTCTCCCTAGAGATATGTCAGCACATGCTCTTACGTGGTTGTCAACCTTTCGACCAGCAAGCCATTTTCACATGCATTTTGCCAAGCACTGCTTAGTCAGGGTCCTCGGTCGCAACTCATAACAACCCGCGTGGTCTTACTCTAATCGATCGCGAGCAGAGGATCATGTCGACTGTAAACAAACGATATTCTCACAGCTTTTCCCAGACCACTGACGAACCCACACACCCGCAACAAGAACGCAATGATGATACCGCCTCATCCGTTCGTGCGGATCAAACGGTGACCACTTCTGATGGTATGCTTGATATTGGAATGGCCATGTCCATTTTCCATTCTGACACATGTTTTTTACAGGACTATTCGACGAACCCCAGTATCCTCCTGCAGCGCCTGGCGAATTGTTGCCGCCTCCCGACTTTCGCCCATTCTTCACGTTGATCGAAGACCCTGATACGGGCGAACACCACCATCCATCAGTACACTACATATTCTCAGATGACAATCCCGATTTCTTGACCTCTACAATCGTGGATGCGATGAGTCAAGAGCAAGCTGGCACATCTTCGGAGCAGAAGGTCGACAACAACCGCGAACGCATGATACTCCTCGACATAGCACCGGACGGCAAGACAGTCAATGAAGTTCAGAGCCTGAGCCCACACTGGCAGGTTCTCAGAACGACTGTTGGTCAGGCACCGTCATGGGCAGACGAGGGTGCAAGAAAAGACATACCAGGCTTGATGCTCAACATCCAAGGTATGGAGAGTAGCAAGCTGAAGTCACAATCGCACCGTCGCAACAACTCTCAGGAAGATATCATGGCTCGCGTTGAAGGGATGATTACAAGTTACACCAGCTGTCTGTCTACTCTAGAGGGCGTCGTCAAAAGAGACGTTCTGGAGGACGAGCAAGGTGCGCCCCCAGAAACAGCGCAGGAGGTTGCCACACAAGAAAACAACCAGGAACGGCTCACGATATAATGAAATGCTCTGGGTATACGGCGTTTGCTGAAATGACATGTCCATAATCCTTCTGTGTATCTTGTCCATGATGATGTAACGACTTCATTCGCGTCGGCTACCACACTATGGTTTGCCCAAATCTGTCGTAGAATTGACCACTGTCATTTTTGTTCCAGGCCTGCACGAGCGGGAGCAGCCCCGAAACACTCTCTTCTGCACTTATGGCACCCTCTTCTTTGTACTTGACTAGTCTTGACTCTACGCGTCCTGGGTGGCAGAGTACAAATATAACGTCAGAAACATCAATGCTGAAGCTTTTGACCATGGCGTTGAGGGCAGCCTTGCTCGCACGGTATGCATAAGCAGAACCTGTCGTATTGTATCCAAGACTTCCCATTCTTGACGACATGACGACAACTTTTGCAGCATTTGCTCGTCTGAGATTTGGTAGAAGAGATCGAATGAGAAGAAAAGTACCAGCAGCATTTACTTGAAAGGTGTGCATGAGAGTTGACAAGTCCATGACGTCCAGGGTTTCAGCGGCAGCAACAGAATCAGGACGAGCATTTTCCACAGCAGGAACCAAACCACGGATACCCACCGAATGAACGAAGAGATCAATTGGAGTGCCTTTCAGTGCATTGGCAAGGTCGTTGATGGACTTCTCGTCGGTCACATCAACAATATATGATGTTATAGTGGCTGCACGATTCTGGTATGCGGAGAGATGAATTTGTTCCCTGTCAATGGCTATGACAGTGTTGCTCTCTTGATGCGAGTAGGCATCCAGGAACGCACGACCTAGACCGGAGGCTGACCCAGAGATCAAGATGGTGGGCATCTTGGTTGACGGACGGCAAATTATCTTGAAGAGGCCACAAGATTGTGCGATGGAGTGGCTTGTCTTCGACTCGAATGATGCGCGCTCGGCAAGTCGATTGGCCGCGCATTCCTGCCTCTCGCTCGACGCAAGCAACCGGCCTGGTCCTTGTCGCTGTGCAACTCCGACTTGGCCTTCTCTCGAGTCGCTTCCCACCAGACTATCCTAAAGTGCTCAATCGTGTGGAAACTTCGTTACGTCTGACTCAACCATGGTCCGGTGCCAGACTCAGTAATACGACCGCGGCTTCCTGTATCATATACGCAAACTCGCACATCCCAAACAGTCGGTCCCTCGATGACGGCAATCGCATAGAAACACAACACGGATTATGTTGTCTTGATTGTTCCACTCTCTCCCCATAAGACATTGCTTGCCATCGCAACTCCTTGAAGCAAGCCAATATACCCACCGAACATGCGCCTGTAGCCGCAACACACCCCGTCGCACAATCACACTATCGTCAGCACGTAAGCCTTTCTCTCCGAGGCATATGATTGCTGGCTCCAACACTGCTTCTGCCTGTGCTTTTGATCGCTATCGTCACTTGCTTGTCTTCTGCTCGCAGTCGCTCACAGCATAGTCAGTACCTTACCGCCACCCAGCCTCTACCCACCATGCGCCGCACCCCACAGCGGTCTCGTCCAGCCGACCCTCCTGTCGCAACCCCTCGTACCATCGAACCACCCACCAAGAAGATCTTCAACTGCATCGCCGACGACTCCGCCTTGCTCGCCGGCGCAAAGAAGAGTACCCGCGACGGCATTCGCAAATGGATCGCCAACGGCCAGATTAGGCTTTTCGTGCCCCTCTACAGTACGCCGCCATACATGCACAAAACACATGGCTACGACTGACTGTCGCAGCGCTCGCCCAAACCACTCGCCTGAAGGACGGAAATGGTCGCATTAGCAGCGACGCCGAAGACGCTCTGGTTTGGCTGGACGACGCCACCAGCACTTATCCCCATCTCGTCACACTTCAAGGCGGTTTTGAGAAATTTGAGACTTGGGCAGAAGTCGAGAAGTTTGCTCTACCCAGAACGCTGTTTTCCGAAGGCGATGTCGACGATGAAGAGGTGGATGGCTTTACCGACGAACTCGCTCAGAACACCGAGACCAAACTCGCCATACGCGACGCAAACTTATCCATGAGCTCCGCCGACACTGATGGCTCCCGGTCAGCAACTCCTTCTTCTGGACACACCGCTCGTAGCTCTGTTAGCCCAGAACCTCCGACTCAGTGTCCTCCTAAGAGCCGTGTCCGCTCTCGCGCGTCCAAGTCCCCAGCCAAGAAGACCACACCAGATTCCTCCTCAACGTCTGGCGTTCCTTCCCATTTGCGCCCTCTGTTCAACTATATCCTGTGGCGCATTCACCAAGAGTTGGACCCAGTTGCTGCTCTGGAATCCTTCATCTTTTTGACCGATGACCCGACCAAGACCAAGCTCGCTCAGCGCTTCGGCATCCGCACCAAGAGTCTCGCCGACATTCGTTATGTCGTTGCAAGGGAAGAGCGTGAATTTAAGAATAGACAGCTCGTCCAGCGCAAGGAGATCGAAAACAACGTCGTGCTAGCACATCCAGATGCTCGTACCACTGCCGCGCCAGCTGTCCAAGAGGAAGAAAAAGTGCGCCCAGAGCTTCTGCCTGTTGATGAAAGACCTGCTGCAGTCAGCGAGGAAGACGAGGATGAGGTTCTGCTGAAGCGTCCACCTAAAGCTCCCGCAGCCATGCTTGCTCAACACAAGTCGCCCAAATCTGGAAACAAGGCTATGGACCCAAACCAGTTTTCACGTGGAGCTCAGACTCACACTCGCGGAAATGCTCGTGGTGGTGGTTTTAGAGGCAACTCTTCTCGCGGTCGTGGTGCCTCGTTCACACCTACGCCTGCAGGAAGAGGCAGCGCTCCGGCAAAGCTGGATCTTACACCCACCACTAACGGCAACGGACCCATCGATCCTAATTCCTTCACTCGTCCCGCTGCTAACACTAATAAGTTCAGAGGTGGCCGCAGACTCTGGGTCCCTACTTAAGAAAGCTGAGCGAGCGGCACAGCCGCACGAGAAAACTATACTTCAAAAATCCTTTTTGTCAGAAGGGTGTCTCATCACAGGAGTCTGCAGGCTTTTTGCAGCAATACAGCCTATGCCGTTTCGAAAACGCAAAAGCAAAGCATGTTCTTGGTATCGGGAGATACTCCACACATGCGAAGCACAATTTCAACTAGCCCTTTCGGATCTCGGAGCAAAAACATGGCGTTGATGTTTCCTATCGGCCTTGGGTTCCAGACACAAGAGCAGCACCGAAACACCACTAGCTCAAATATCGACGAAAGTCTCAATATGTTGCTCATGGCAGGTCAGCACCTCAACCATGCATGAACACATACGCAAAATGCTAGTAGGAAGGAGTTGAGCAGAAGTTGACATGACAGATTGTTCAAAAGGAGATGGGGAATGAGGTGGAGGACAGTATTTTGCTTGTATTTCTTATTGATTTTTCTTTGCGAGTCTTGGGAAGAACGTTTCCTTGTTGAATTCGAAGCTGCTGTGAACAGCCGCCCAGAGCTTCCACAGGTATTACAGCCTTGCTAAGAACCAATATATGCTTTGTTGCGATACGTCTTGCTTCAGGTGATTGATCTTTTGGCAGATGTCAACGCTCGGGCCAAATTCACATGCTCTTGGCGTCTGTCATAATGTTTACCTGCATCAACAATCTCAGGAAAACCATCGTCGTGATCAAACAGCATACCTAGCGGTTATTGATGGAGTATAATCATGCATCGTGCTGTGAAGCAAGCTGCAACAGCTTCAAAACCAGCATCTCAACCGACCTTTAAACTTCCTAAAAACAGCCATCTCATCATCACAACTTCTGGTGGCATTTTTTCATGGGATCGAGATGGGGTCAAGCAGCTTTTCAGCAGTAGCAAGAAGGGCATCCTTGCAGCTCGAGAAGCGAAAGATGGAAGTCAAGTGCTTGCCGTAGCAGATGAACATGTCGTGGTGTTACATGACTGCAAAAGAGGGCGCGAGGAGAGCTGGGGCTTGAGCGGTAGCGAGGTATATATTACCTTGCGCCAATGAACTATTCAGTGATAACATTGCTGATCAAGAACTGAGTAGGGCATCGTGCGACTGCTAGAATATGCACCGGATGCAAAGTCTCTCTTCCTCAGCACTTCATTGACTGGAGCTATACAGCATTACTCGATCCACGAATCACGCTATCTCGACCCACCTTCCAATCATCCTTCTCCACCAACTGTTCTTGCTATCTCTTCTACCTCTCACTTGATGTTGTCTGCTTCCGAGAACCCGAGCGTGGTGTATTTGCAGAACCTGGCTCTCAAGACATCTGCCATCCAACTGCATCCGTCTGCAAGTGGCGCTGCTGTCGCAACAGCTGCTTTCCATCCCGAACGACCCAACATCTTCTTGCTGGCCTTCAAAGACGGCACAATCGCTGCCTACGATGCGACAAGAATAACGCGAACGAGTGAAGCTTGTACTAGTACCAAGTCTCGTTCTGTGAACAACGGTCATGCAGGCGAGATCTCGCACTTGTCAAACCTACACCGTGTCACCAATATCAGGAATTTGTCAGACCCTCCAGATGCATCACCAAACACGACCATTGGGAGCAGAACCATGGCCATCACAGGTGCAGCATTTCTCCCTGGTTTCCGTAGTCGCGCAGTCAGCGCTGGCGCAGATGGACGATGTAGACTGGTAGACTTCGAGGCTGGCGGCAAAATACTTCGTACCTGGCACGCGCAAGCACCTGTAACTTCGTTGTCGGTTCTGGCGATCAAGTCGTCTTCAAAGACCGAAAAGACAGTATCCAAGCAGAAGCCTGGAGTCACCATAAGCGGTACTGAAGCCAAAACTGTAATCGCTGTGGGAAGGGTCGATGGTCAGGTGCTTCTCTTTGATTCCGTCGGACTACGTCTCGATCAAGTCCGCGTAAATGCGCTCGGTGAGAAGGTCATCAACGTGGAGTGGATGGACGGTCCCAGCCCCTACGCCATATCAAGTCCTATCAAACCTGTATCTTCAAAGATTGATGCCAAATTTGACCTGTCACACAGCACACCTGGAAAAGGACAGAGAACTCAAGCTGGTTTGCCCGATGCTCTACGATTGCCTCCAGGCGCCGTATTTATCCCTACGCAACCGGCTCCTGCAATCGCTGTGATCGGATGCGAAGCTGAACAGGTGTCGACAGTACGACACACGCCAGCTGCCAATATGGTCAGGCGCTCACCGGCGGTCGAGACCACTTACTTAGACCTTTTCTCGCCAGTCAAAAAAGTTTCTCCTCCGCGTCAGCAACAGAAAAGTCCAGTATCATCTCCTCACCGACGCCGTAAACGCCTCTCAAGTCAGACTTTTGTAAGGTCGAACAGCCCTGAGTCTGCGCACATAGCTGTCGAAGTCGTAACCAGGTCACCTGAGACGCCTAAGCATCTATCAATTCATCCGTTAAACACAACGATTGAGCGTCAACAGAAGCCTCCTCATGGTACTACTCCAGCGTCTGCTCGACGCGGTCCTAGATCAGGACGAAAGAAGGCTCATGGCCGAAGTGCCCAAGGCTTGAACCGTAGCCCCTCTGCATCTATGGGAGCAGGAAGGAATGGAAAAGTTCTTGCCGATCTACGAAGACTGGGTGTTGAACAGCCAGCAAAGAAGAATGGTAAAGCTGCGCTTTTCGCTCCATACATGAATCATACTGGTATCTCTAATCTTCCGAGAACGGAGGCGCAGACTACAGCCAACAATGTTGTCTTGCTGACTGAACCCCTGCCAATTGAAGAGTGCTCGCCTGAATCTCAACATCACCACCCAAACCAACCTCCGCAAGTACATTTCGAGTTAGAAAGCCGCTCATCAGACCGAGATATCTGGATGTCCGCTGGATCTTCGGAAGATGAGTGCAATCAGCGACAGGACGACGAACGCACACACTACCATGCTCGCCAAAGACGAATGACCCAATCTCAATCACAGAGGTCAGAGCCTGAAACCACTCTCGAGGCAGCGACTGTATCACCACAACCCCACAATGCTGCCAAGGAAGCTGCTGTGCTCTCAATGTCCGAGGAAGCCATGTTCAGCGCAGTCTCACACATTTCAAACATTGACGGCGAGTTTATGCCTGCTTCGAGCGATGTGCAAAGACTCTTTCCTCGTGGCTCCTCGATCTACTCGACTTCTCCGTCTCGCCAATCTCCTAAAAAGTCACCACGTAGACAGGTACAAGTCTGGAATGATGAGGCACCGAAAACAAAGACAGTTATAAATCCAATGCAACGCGAAAAACTGGTGAGCATGCAATCTAATACGACTCTGAAGGCAACACCAAGGGATATGGCAGCAAAGAAGGCTGCTGCTGTACCATTAGGATCTGGAGAAACGAAAAGGACCAAAGCTCTCCCACCGATTCCATCACTGCCATCTACTATCGTGCCTTCTCAACCTCAAAGATGTGCTTGCGCGGAGAAGAGCTGTCCGGGTTGCTTAGAGCTGGGAGCGAGGGTCCACAGTCTAGAAGATGAAGTCGCAAGATTGAAGATCGAGGTCCTTGGGCTTAGGAGTGCCCTCAGAAAGACGGGCGTGTCGAGCCGCGTGGCGGAGAGAAAGAGGTGAATCGGCGGTGCCCGATGTTGTTTCTGTGTTTTATCGTTAGATACCCCTCTTTCGCGTAGTAATGTTCATCCCTGTGCCTACATACCGAGGGTGTCGACGCTCGCTCAGCACTTGACGCACTGGCACGGAGCCACATTGTTGATTATGCTGTGCAGATGCACGATCAAAGTGCCAACAGATCTGAACGGGCCGCGAGGGTGTCCATAGACGTAAAAGGCACCGACCGGAGTGCCGTTGCGGGTGAAGCGGCCGGGCTTTGCCTTCCACCACAAAGTGTAACCTTGCGGCAGGTTTGTGAACTGGACGGCCACACCGTATCTGCTCGCTATACCGCGATCTGAACGTTAGTATTTGTTTGCGTCGTAGCACGAGGTGGTTTCTAGATCTTACAGTACTTGCCCGAGAGCTTCGACAAGTAATGGGGGGCGCGGGGGTCCTGGTTCCCGGCTATCAGCACATAGCCATGGTTAGCACGGGGCTGGCGGCCGGTGCCATTGCTGCCGGGCAGCAGAGAGAGGTCGAAGAACGCGTTGGCAGCTGCTGCCGGAGGAGGGGGAGGAGGAGCATTCATCGTGCTTGATGGTTGCCTGTTGTAGTTAATTAAGCGAGAGTCCGTGCGGCGCTGGAGTCAAAAATGGAAGGTAAAACCGAGCTGGGTGCATTGACCGCTTGGGTGTGATGTCGTCTTTTACAGTGAACTACATGTTTACAATCACGAATATTCATGTCGCCAAATCGATGTTTCGAGATGTACTCGTCTGAAGAGATGGCAGTATACCCAGATCTCCCTGGTTGGCCTCTTCGAGCCGTCAGCGTATGCTCCAGATGGCAATGCTGGTCACATCATAGCCATTAAAATGCACAGAGCTATATCGATATCAGTATGTGTCCGGAGAAGAGGCTCCTCCTTCCAGCTCTCAGTGGACATACGAGTGTCTCTCAACTACTTTCCGCATCTCTATAAGCTGTCGTGACCCTCACCGCCAGTTGGAGAAACACATTTTGGACGCTGTGCCTGGTTATTCTCAAAGTGGACTCTCCAGCAGCGATGATGCGTAAGAAAATGCCTATCAAAGTGCGCAAAGGTATCATGGTGTAGATGTGTAGCCGAAGAGATGTTACACCCGGAGACCCTTCTACTGGACAAGCTAGTATCTCTGGATTATGTCTTGCATTTTTATGAGTATGTTTCAATGGTATCGGTAAGTTGGGGAAGGCTTTTCGAGTGATGGATACTCTGTCTCCTTCCAGCGACGAGTAAGAAAGAAGAAGCTGGCATCGAAATGATCCGAGTCTGCAAACTTCCACTTCAATTGATTCATTCCAGGGAAGGAGCTGCGCCTATATGTCACCAACTCACGATGGGCAGTCGCGCTTCTCGCGCCTTCTCCTGTGCTCTTCTTCTTCTTCTTCTTTTTCATAAGAACTCTGCAAGTTTCGGTTGATATTCGACAGTGTTGCACTATACGACTGAAGAGCTTTGTCCAAGATTACAAAGAACAATTCGTTTGCTATCATGCCTGTCTCATCAACACATCAGAATGCTGAACATCCTCTTATCGCTTTGATTGATCAGACAACGCAGGATCCTACTAGAAGACACCAACGTGTTGAAGCAATCAGACCAATCCTTCAGTACCAACACCAGCTCCGACTACAAAACATGCCTCCGTCTCATCACGCTTTCCTTCCGTCTTTCGTCAATCCAGCACAAGTCGAGATGCCACGATCTAACCAGCCCCACGGCTCTGACCAGAGAAGGACATCCTCTGCCCACTCTTCTAGTGCCAACACTGTTCAGGGAATGGCTCCAACGCCCACAATCTCTACCAATGCAGGTTTTGCCTCCGCCCCAAACATCGGACAGACTAGACCCCCTTCCTATGCCTTTGGGCCCCACGCTAGCCAATCCGTGTCTCCAACCTTCCTCTGCAACCCGAACTTCGACCACGCCGCGCCGGCTACACGCCCCGAGCTCGAACACATGATTGTCTCTGTCAACCGCCAAAAGATCGTAAGCGACGACATGGACTGGACCACTCAGTTCCCCCTGGAGGATCTCAGAAGCTCGACCACAAGCAACATCTCGATCAATCAGCTCTCGTACAGTCGTCTGGTTGGCGAGATCTCCGAGAAAATTCGCAGCAATGTTGAGTCGGAAGGTCTATCTGTCGTTTGGGTCATGTCGAACATCAACCAATTGGGTATAATTCGCGACAACGGCTCGCTGAGAGCAGCTGTCTTAGACCACCAGCATGCTTGCAAGCATATCATCCAGCTGTACGTTGTTAGAGAGAAAGGTAAGTTCGCAGACTCTCGCAATGTTTACATTACCATCAGAGGTCTGACGCATTACAGCCGAGGGTACTGTTCTTCCCGAGTCTCAGATCATCTCTTCGAAGACTTTTATCCTGCCCAAGGCTCCGCCTGTCCCCGATGGTCTTCTCAGTCCCGAGCCTAACCAGCAGGAGGACACACCCAGACCTCCATCTACCTCCAGCTTCGGCAAATCCTTCGGTCGTTGAGTATGAGAAGACTTAGCAGGAGCAAGGGTTCTAGATACTGACGAGTCTGTCATGGAGAGAACACCACCACGTCTCAGAGTTCGTCAGTTTACAAAAAAGAAATCGAAGTTGTGATCGAGAAGACACGCAGAAAACGGACGGAATGGACGAAGCAACGAGGAGCAAGGAAGAAAGAGATATGGACTGTCATCGCATGGTAAAAAGGGGACTCAATGAGCAAGTTGATAATGATGGTCGGTTGCAGATTGTTTCGACAGAGGAAAAAACAAGTTGTCTTCCTCGAATATCATGCCTCGATTGCACTTACTGCCACTAGTGTGCTTTGAACAGATGCTCTTGTATAAGCCCCTGTAATCTTCCTCTGACCTCTTTGGAATGACGCGCAGAGAGATTGACGTGCTTGTTGGAGCGTGAGCGGTGATGCTTCGTAGCACGAAACACAGTTTTGAGAGGGCCATCGTTTCATCATGCGGATCACTACTTGTTCTTGGGACCTTTGTCTTCCAGATAGACATGCTTCAACATCAGCCACAAGCGATGGACTCTTCGGTAACCAATAACACACACGTTCGCAAGACTCTCTCTGTTCATGCTTGCGTCCTAATCCTCCGTTGCGCAAAATTAGCAGTGGTCGCTGGAAACGTCCAGGTTTCCTGACCATTCGAATCATCGCAAGGAATCTCTACTGCCGAAGCAGCAAAAGTATCTTGAGCAAGAATCTCAAATCACAGCAGATTAGATTGGATTCTCGTAACTCTACAAAAGGAATTCACCAGCCGATTCGGCCTTATTATGCAGATGAAACCTTGTCCCGGATATGGTGGCAATGTTGTGTCTTTGAAGGTTTGCGTTGGCCACAGGAAGGCAAACCGCGAATGCAACAGATTCGACGACGCTGTCGGAAGTGTCCTAATCTGGCAGGAGCCGCCTGCCCATTGCAGCAATCTTGAATCTCGCTTAGCTTGTGCGATACCACACCATGGCACCCAGGTCAAGGTTGAAATCATACGATTTACCTCCCTTGATGACTTGTCAGTGGTCGTCGTTACGATGCTTCTCATGTTGATCAAATGTGCTTATCTATTAGCAGTAGCTTCCACCATGCAGTCATAGCGCCTCGAGTTCTTGAGCTTGATCTGTGAGCTTGATGGTCTGGCCTCAGGGGAATAAGCTCATCATAATCATTCTGTCCAATCTCCAACGCTGGAGCCTGGAGGAGAAGATTCCACGTGCGCTCATTGCATGGCAGGCAACGGAAGAAGGGAGAAGGATCAAACCTTAACTTACTGTCGAGACCGTTAGAGCTACAGAAAGATATCCCAACCTAGAGAGTCAGAATATCAGAGTCAAGAGTCTGCAAGATCAGAGGCCAAGCGCCGTCGCAAGGGAATCCGGTGGAGCTGTCTCCTGAAGTTTGATGTCGTGGATCCGGCCCATGTCTGGCCGTTCGTATTGCGCTCAGTCGTGAGATTCCAAAATCAGTGTGAATATCAACGGTGATCGTCTGCAGTGTGTGCTTTTTGGGAATTTGCAATACGCATTGTGCTAGGGACCCTATGCTTGCATACGCCTGTCATATCTTGCTGCTCGAAGACGTTTGTAAGGTTGGACGATGCACATATCGATTCAATCGACTCGAAACAGTAAATTGTGATTGTTCTGGCTGAGCAGCCGCTTTCGAGAAGAAACCTTATCATTAGTTTCGCTGCGCGCGTAGGAAACTTCTGCCAAGCTGGTCTTGACGTTTCGATTCTTGAGGTACACAAGGTACGTATCTCTGCACGACTCGCTGGACGTCGTCTGTTCAAGCATCGCAAGCTGAGACTTCTGCAATAGAGATGAGGGTTTAATGCCGCGTGTGGATCTACCGTGACACAGCCTTGAGCTTGTGTACTCTGCCCAGCCCGTCCGGCTCGGTGTCGCAATAATTAAAGTCCTGCTCGCTGTGTGAACGCGAAAGCTAATACACTGAGCATGTCTCGATGACAGTCACGTATGCCGATGACTGTCAAACAAAGAGATCGGAGAGGCATTTCTGAGCGAGCCGTTGCTTGTTGAATAGCAGCACTGCAGATTGGATGATAGACGCGTGAAAGACGCGATGTTTTCCTTGTTTGTGAATATCAGAGCTTCTGTCAAATCTGCCCTGCCCGCACAAGGCAGATCTTATGTCACATCTGTCGTCACCAGGGCATTGTCGTGCTCGATTTTACTCCACAGGACCATGGTTGAAAAGGAAGGACTGTAACTGTTCGCACCTCCAAAGTGTTTTGATGCTGCATTCTCTGAATTTCATGATGCGGGATGTCGCCATCGTCGCGTTGGCGGGGAGCACGCAGTCATGGCCGACGCGATCGGACTTGAAAGCCAGGAAAGGAATAGTAGACGATACCTATTGCATCCGAACAGGCCGAATGAGGACGCTGATCGCCGCTAGATTTCCGTTAGCAACGAAGATTCAACCAGTTGGCGCCCTTCCTGCAGGCTATCCCCTTTCCTACACTCTGTTTTCACCGCAACGCGCCAACATGAGCGCTGCGCCTGCACCTTCCAACGTCCTCACAGATCCGCCGGGTCAAATTGGAAAGTACGGAGTAACTTCAGCCTCTGAGTCGTGTCCACCTCTTGGGTCGCTAGTCTGTTACTCTAACAGAACGTCTTGCTCTGCTTACGGTTTAGAAAGAGTGCTTGTGCTATTCAAAAGTTTGGTACACTTCCGACTCTCTGACACCTCGGACTCAAAGCTTCTGACATCCCTGCTGATCTACTGCCTCATCTGTCGCCTCGTACGAGGGCTCAGCTTCTCGATCATCTAACTCCAGCTTCCAAATCTTCTTACATACTTGGCAGGTCCAGAATGACGGTGCTGGTTGACGAGGCACTGTCAATGGTGATCGTTACTTGTTCGCCTGGTCACATTGTGATCAATCAGAGAAAGATGGCTGCCCAGCTGCCTGTTTTCAACTCCCGAAATTTGACCTACGTCAGCAGAGTCGTGATGAACAAATTATACCATAATATTGCATCCCGAAGGCCAGGATGATGGATGATTGCTTCCCTTTCGAGCAGATGCCTGTGCCCCGACAGATCTTTTGGGTAACGCAGCAAGGTCCTCGGGCCCCAATCGATAGATTGTACGTCAGTCATGCAGATACTGATTATGTGCTTGCATATTGCTCCGCTATCATGGGTACTCTTTGAAGGTCACCAAAGCATAAATGAGAAAGTAATGACTCGTAAATCTTGCTGGTATTCCAACCTGACATCGAAAAGCTGCAAGAGCGTTCGGCCCAGCGCACCTATTTCTTCCTTGCTTCTGACTTGTTGCCATGACCCAAAATCGTTCGACCTGCAGGCTGCGGAGCTCAGCTCAAAGCTTCGAGTCTCGAGAGATTTTTAGAGTTTGCTCAAAAACGTGTCTGACAGCTGGTCCACGGACGGCCCATGTGGCCCTCTGTCTCTGCGGCCGTATGCCATATGCTAGACACATCCGCCTTGCGCCCTGCATACAGCGTTCAGAGCGTCTGAAAATTTACTGTTCCCAGCCGTTGGAAGTTTTTTCCCTTTCACTTTTTCTTTTGATTGAATTTCGACCGAAGGACAAGATCGGCCTAAGAAGCAGCCGCACTAACTCATTCCGCTAGCTTGGATCGGATCCCTAGTGCCGATAGCCGGATTTGGAAGAACACGACCTCGGTATCAACAAAGGAATACATGTGTGAGAGGTCAAACAATTCTAAAATCGAAGGTATTGATACATTAATGCTAAGCGAGTGTAATAGTAGGGGTATCTAAAAATCAGAATAAACGCCGTGACCAGTGATATAAGTATAAGAAACAGGAGTAAATCCTGGTATCACGTTCCCAATTGGCTTCGACGGAGTGACCAGCGCAAGGAAATACGCTCAAATTCGCGGACGATGCTGAAAATGACTAGATGGGTATCGCTGATAAAGAGAAGAGCACCGTAAGTATAGGGTACCGGGGAGTGCGCTTTTGTTTTCTGTACAGAGGTGAGGTCTTCAACGACTGTGAGGCGGCAGATTAAATCGGAGACCCGTCTCATGGCGCGCGTAAGGGTTCACGGGACCAGTCATTGGTGGAGCTTGCATAATAGATGGAGGTGGCGGCGGAAGATTAGACATAGGCATTGCGGTATGAGCCATGGAGGGTGGCGGCAAAGATGAATTCTGGGCGGTACGAGCCGGCATCTGATTGTGATGGGTCTGCATCTGGTGATGGGTCATGATCGTATTCGCCGGCAGCGGTGGCGGAGGTGCGTGACTTTGCGTTGGTGCTTGTACGTATGTTTGCGGCATAGGCGAATCGCCACGCTTACGAACATTCCTGATCGGTTCAGGACTATGTTTCTGAACCTCGGTATAGTGGCCTTGATCTGCTTGGGCAGACCCGCTACCATTTCTCCTTGTTCTGGGCGATTGAGGGCGAGGGAGGTGTTCGCGACCTCCAGGAAATTGTGATACGATGGAGGCAAGTATGTCTCTGTCCTGTCTGTAGAAGTCGGCATCCTCGGTCATGTCTTTGACTTGCTGCTCGAGTCTCGCAATTGTCTGAGAGGCTTCCATCTCCTTTCTCTTGCGACGTTCGCGGAATCTTGCACTCGCACCAGCGTTTCGACGTCTCTTCTCGTCCGCCACTCGCGACGCTGCCTGAACGTCAACAGGAAACCGGACATCTCCTTCGGTGGTTTTAAGAGTCATCATCTGAACAGAGTTGGACCCAGAACCATTGAGGCCAACGTGATAAGACTCTGAGACGTGCGGTGCTGAAGTGCTGGGGGTCATGCTCAATCCTCTGGCTCGATGAGCATCGGATACTGAAAGATATCCAGATGCATGCGCATCGCCGGGAGAAGTCTGATCATAAGCCGAGTAGTCGGGGCTAGGACTGGTACTGTAGCGTTGAGCCGAACCAGATTCAGGGCTGGCTGTCCTTGTAAGGTGGTTTGCCTGCATGTAGCCCTGATGTGCGTAGCTGATAGCTGGCGGAGCAGGGAGAGGAGGAGCACCACTTATTCCAGGCTGAACTGCATAAGGTCTGGAACGAGGAGATACAGGGAAAGGATTTTGCTGAGCATCCACAACGCCATTGGGAGGGTTGAGGTGAGATAAACTGATAGCTCTTCGAAGAGGAGATTTAGGTGTCAGCATTCTTCTGGGAGCACTGGTCAGTGGTTCTGTGAGGAGAGGCAACGGAGTGTTGCTTCCTGGCCTAGACAGGGAGGCTCGTCCTTGTGATGCCGAGCCCAGAGGCGGTAGCGTCGGAGCCCTTTCGTTTGGTGAATCGATTTCATCTGCTTTCCTCCTGCGTTGAACAGACACGGTCGTCTCATCAGTGACAGGATTGAGGACTGAAGGTAGTGTGACGGATCGAGGCACAGATGGGGACGCAGCAGCTCTCACAAGCGGGGGAAGCTCAAGCCCTCTTGGAGGTAGGAGCTCCGGTCCATGCCTTTGTGCTTGGGGAGAGGTCGTTGTTGATCCAAGATAGCCGGAAGAGGTATTGGACGCATGTCGTGAATGTGAAGCAGGTGCTGTAGAGTGAGCGTGCCCATCGTTGTCGTGTATCGATTGAGGGCCTTGAGGGTTAGACCAGTGTGACATTAAATCCTTGCTTTGCGCCTGCTTGCTCTCTGACGACGCTGACCATGAGCGTTGTTGGCCGCTGATGAAAGCGTTACGGTCGCCCCCTTCAACTGACAGGAAGGGCGAGTCGTACCGCAGTGGTCGGCAGTCGGGAGTAGTTCGGTTCACACCAAAAAACTGACTGTGATGACCTTGATCGTGGGAGAGAGCGTGCAAAGGACGAGGTGCAAAGTCTGGGATAGCCAGCGTGACTGATGAGGTGGGACGGTAGGAACGTCCCACGGCAGTGACTAAGATAGCTAGGGCTGGGGAAATACTGCTACTTGCAAAGGCAAGTAATGGCAAGTGGAAAGGAAAGACGAATCAAAGCTGATCGGACAACTAGGATCAGGTGTACCTCGCAACACGGACGTGCAATTGGGTGCTGGATAGGATGAGATGCCGAGGTGGACAGATCGGTTGCCCGGTGGGTAGTAAAGGAATGAGGAAAATGAGTGCAGGAAGGGGTTTGGGACGTATGTGGGAGCGCGGCCGAGTATATGGGCTAGAAAGGTACCCGATCAACCAGACACCCAGACCAGTGATATAAGACCGATCGGCAGGTTGCGGTGAGTTGAAATGACATGACAGCAGGCAACGCGCGGGCCAGATAAAGCCGGGGCCTGATTGGGAATGGTAGCATCATTTTGCACAGGTGGGCAAAGCAGCTGGCGTCGACGGAGATCGACTGAGTTAGACTTTGGTACTTGCACTGGGGTCGTCGAGCGGCATGGCAAGAACTATGTTCGTGCATGCGAATGCTTCCTGAACGTTGGTGTCACACTAACTGGCTAGGGCAGTTGCGGGCCCTGTCTCGAAGCTTGGACTGTCCCGAGCGTGCCACGGAGAGTTGCTGTTGCTGTTAAGAATTCGAAAAGTGTTGCCCACCTGTGTTGCTCTTGCAGGCACTCGCTTACAGACTTCTGCGAGGTCTCCATCATTCGTCACCTGTTACCCGCTCTGTGAGCCATGGAACCTCAAGCACAGCAAAGTCTCCGTGTCAGCCAGTCAGAGCCAAGGCGGCTCCGCGCCTCAGATCTTAGCCAGAAAGAAAACCTGCCGATGACCCTCCCTCGGTAGTTGTGGAGCGAGTGTTTCCAACCAAGCAAACCGCATCACTGGTCTTGATGAGCTGGCCGCATTTGCTCGTCCATGCGAGTCGGCCACCTCTCCCTGCTCATCCAGACGCACGACCCCGGGACATGTGGCGCTGTCTCGTCGGTCTGTGCCCATCGGCGTGCCCATGTCCTCTGATTTGTGCGAAAAAAAGGATCGTGAAGGTTTTCGGTGCGCGCAACCTTAATGCCGCTTCGACTTGGCGAGTCAAGCCATCAGTGTCGAGCTTTGCATTTGATCATTACTTTGCTCAGGGGGGATCAAGGGCAAGATATGACGACGGCAGTGCTGCAAGCACAATCTCCAGGCCGTCGCGGGTCATTCCATTGCGAATCAGCACCCAGATCTCTTTCCTTTCTTCGTAATTCGTTACTTCACGCTCCGAGGGACACAAGAAAATAGCTTCGTCTGCATGCCTTAGCGGCGGTAGCGGCGGTTTATGGATTGGAGTAGGGATTAGTTGGGCGTGTGTGTCTGCATCACGCACAAGCCATTCGTCCGCAGCAACATGTACTCTGCGTGTATGACCGTTGATCCACGACAATCTCAGAGCATGTCAAAGTTTCGGGCCTGAAGCACCATGAAATCTACATATCAGACTTTGGCCCTTGCATGCCATTATGCTGTCTCTAGTAGATGGTGGGCAATATGGCGACATCGCTAACCCCTGCTTGGCCACGAGGTATCCTCTCACGAAGGTTTCATTAGATCTGTCTGTTTCAGAATACCGGTAGTCACGACTGACTCGCCTATATGCTCGGTCAAATTCGAGACGATGCCAGCTACCGTATCGCATGTCAACGTCTTGGTGACTGGTGAGCGATTTTGTAAAGTGTGGAGACAAACGCATCCTCTACCAGGACTTTTACTCCTATCGGATAGCTAGGAACACCAGGTAGGTCATGGCATGCATGTCACAAGCAATTGTTCGCTTCTCGAACAGAGCCAGGTTTAGAGGAAGAAGTACTGACCAATCCGGTCAAATGTGGCTTGAAGAGTGGCACATACAACCCGCAGACGAGCATGCATCATGTGAGGTGTATGTAGAAGCGCCGACGTCTGCCTCGAGGCACATGTGGTGCCAACAAAACAATGCATATCTTCTTTCCTAAGAAATTATGCTATTGGTTGCATGCCCCTTCTGGCCGATTGTCGCTACCCAGACGACAAGTCACGACGAACGAGTCGCGGATGCACTTTCGCTCGAACGGAATATGCATTGGATGCAGGTCGTGACATGTGTTGGCCGTTGCACACTTAGACTGCATAGTACAGTACATCCAGACGACATTTGGCATGAGCTAGTACGCCGAAAGAGTCATGTAGCACTTTGAATGCTCCAACTGTACCCGGCAGGATGAGCAGTTACAGAGAAAAAGGCGCTGCTTTTGAGTTCATATTGATGCCATGGCGAGAGGTAACGTTTCAAGAGGCGCATCTCGCAGAATGGACCCTCTCCAAAGGATCGTCAGAAGCAGTTGCTCTCAATGTAAGATGGTTGAGTCGTGCCCTTTCATACAAGGGCACGTTGACATGGGTAACCACCGCTTTTGCCGCCTCAGAGTGCCCTTCGTATTGGATCAGCGCTTGCGACATGGTTTGAAACGATAATGACAGACTGACATCAGTCATTACATATTGTAGGGCGCAAAGACTACATTTTCCATGAATCCTTTGGCTTCGGTTCTGTTTTCTCACTCCTTTCTAGCGGCCGTTCTTGCCGTTTCGCAGATTGTGACTTTCGCGCAGTCACCGATAGAAGACTTCTCGAAAGAGAAGGTGGGGATGGCAGGGCAATCGAGCCGTCACCGTCTCGCGTTTCTTCTTGGTCAGCAGAGTGGAGTTCGACCCTGTTTCGCGACATTCTTTCTCTTTGATGAAGTGATTGCGAGTCGTCAAATTCTCAACGGTCGTGTTTCAGAATGGGCTTCCCGAATTGTTTGTCTCTCTGCCAAATTGGGTCCATACGTATGCGGCACGAGCTTACGACATTGACGAGGACGGCACGTCGAGCAGCTTACAGTCGTCGCTGCATTTCGAGACTCGGTTATCAGTTGTCGTCATCTCGGTAAGCAAGACAGCGCTTGATGCATGTACCGAGATATTTACCAAGTAGCCGGGCGTCGGCAGCACGATATCTTGTCCCTCGTGTGAGTGAACAGATAGGGCAAACCTACTGCTCAAATCTCGCATGTATCGTTTTCCACGATTCACGAGATGCTCAAGGATGGTACACCAACTTACCGGCTAGTGCCCCGCGTCGAGTTCGCTGCAAATCATCATCTCTGGCGTATCGATGCGAGGAAAGTTTACGCTCACACTTGCCGCAGGCTGCCGTTGGAGGATTCACGGTTGCTCCTTGTGGGGCTTGCACTACTGGAGCTCGGATAGAGCCACGAGGAGGTGGTCTGAGCGATCGGGCTGCCTCGTGGCAATGATCCTAGACATTTTTTAGAACGGGATTTAGAACAGCTACGGAACTGTATTCGACAGCCTCAAGCCTCGTGCTTTTAGCCTTGTGCTTTTAGCCTTTTCGACCCTTGCAACTTGCAATCGGCATCAGGAACAAACCTCACTACCCCGTACAGATGGAATAACTGAAACACAATCTTGCTATTTTGAACCTGACCATGCCCCTACCAATTCTTCTTGACGTATGAAGACAAGGCTTGGCGCGCACTCTACAAGCCCCCAAGCTCTGGGCGGTAGTTAAGCTAGGACGTGATCTGCGTTTCCATGTACGAGGCGCTGGTGCTGTATAGCCGACACTTATGAAATATTTGGTGAAAGCTAATCCAAGCCACCTATTTCAGCTTTATCGGTGCTGCAAATCTATGTAAGTTCCAAGATCTGCGTAGGTATCGACGTGAGCTGTTGACGATGGTTCTTGAAACCAGGAACAAAGGTAATTGACTTTCTACGGCCCATGGATCGGAGATTACAAAGCCCTTAGTCGTGCGTCTTATCACTCCATTCAAGCCAAAGCACGCCATGAAAAAGCAGCCAGCTGACGAATGCGGGTGGTCTTGCGA